TCTCTTTCTCTTGCTCAGAGACAAGCAAGCTGTCATGTTATAAGCAGCCCTTTGAGGGGTCCATGTGATGTCAAGGAATGAAGTCTCCAGCCAGCATTTAATGAGAAACTGAGGCCCACCAACAATCTTGAGTGAACTTGGAAGTAGCTCCTTCAGCATCAGTTGGTTGTTGAGATGACTACTGGCAGGTTAACTGCAACTTCATGGGAGTCTTCTGGACCAGAACCACTCAGTTAAGTGACTCCCAGATTCCTGATCCTCAGAAACTCTGAGAAATAATGAATATTTGTTGTTTTAAAATGTTAAATTTTGAGGTATTGTATTATGTGGCAATAGATAACTAATATATAAATTATTTTAATCAAACAATATGTTAAATTAAAGCTCAGAAGAATAAACATCCGTAATTCCTTAATTTGTTTTCCCCTCTATTCTACAGAATAGAATTTTACAGATGAACCTTGTAATTACTTGTGCAATAAGAGACAGTATATTGTATTGGTTAAGTGCATAGCTCTGGATGTATGGTAGTAGAAAGACCAATATTCAATTGCTTTCTTCTTCAATTTCAAGCTTGTGAGCTTGAACAAATTTTAAAAGTGTTTTAAGCCTCAGTGTCCTGGGATGGTAGTGCTTAGCTCAAGCTCCTAGCATATATTAACTACAAACTAAATATTAGCTATAATTATTAGTTTTACTTTGATTATTGACTCCAAATAAATACCTTAAGAACTATATGTTCTCCACAGATTTGGATATGTCTGGACGTTATGTAGGCTGGAATAGTCAGCAATTACTTGCCTGAGGAAGGGAAAGCCTCCAAAGAACAAACTCCTCCTTCAAGAAAAGAGTAGGCTGGGTGCAGTGGCTCATACTTGTAATCCTAGCATTTTGGCAGGCTGAGGAGGGCGGATCACCTGAGGTTAGGAGTTTGAGACCAGCCTAGGCAACATGGTGAAACCCTGTCTCTACTAAAAATACAAAAATTAGCCAGGTGTGGTGGCACACTCCTGTAGTCACAGCTACTTGGGAGGCTGAGGTGAGAGGATCACCTGAGCCTGGGAGGTGCAGGTTACAGTGAGCCAAGATCTGCACTGCACTCTAACCTGGGCAACAGAGTAAGACTCCGTCTCAAAAAAAAAAAAAAAAAAGAGTAGAAGGCACAAGCTTAGTCCAATATTATAGCTTCAGCATCAGAGTAGAAAATGATTCAGAGGGTCTGTCTGGTGTCTGCTGTAGATCCCGCAAATCTGTGTTTGGATGCTTCTAGTAAGGATCATATGGCAGATGCACCTGACGGATGCACTTGGCAGCAATAACTTATGCATACCTGAAGAATGACCCTATGGTCTAAGAAGAATGTATGTTCAGAGCTCCCAGATAAGGAATCTGGGAGTGGCCAACCCAGAGATTTCATTTCTTATCTATGACAAACTTCTGAACTGCTCCCACCCCCAGCCCATCCTGTAGAATGCAGGCCCTACTAGGCGATCAAAGCCCTTTGTTTTAGGTAAAATGAAGGTTGCCTGGTAGAGGTTGCTAGGGGAAAGGTGTTAAGTAAAAGTGTTATATAAACTGCATGTCTCTTTGTTTGTTTTTGTTTTTTTGAGACAGAGTTTTTGCTGTTGTTGCCCAGGCTGGAGTGCAATGGTACAATCTCGGCTCACTGTAACCTCTGCCTCCCGGGTTCAAGTGATTCTCCTGCCTTAGCCTCCCAAGTGGCTGGGATTACAGGTGCCCACCACCAGGCCCGGCTAATTTTTTTGTATTTAGTAGAGACAGTGTTTCACCATGTTGGTCAGTCTGGTCTCAAACTCCTGACCTCAGGTGATCCACCCACCTCAGCCTCCCAAAGTGCTGGGATTACAGGTATGAGCCACCATGCCTGGCGAACTGCATGCTTTTTACAAGGAGTTTTGGTTCTCCTGTCCAGCCCACTGCCGTTGGACTTCCCTGTACTGTAAGTCCTCTCAATAAACCTTATGTCTCAGTTTCTGATTCTAGGTCTCTTCAGCCTCTTGAACATGGTGCCATCCCTACTGAAATCAATGGGGTCTGACATACAAGGGGAACTTGAACAAAGTCTGAAATAGCTATTTTTTTTTCTTGTCAAAATCCCTGTAAGACATTATTTGCCTTGGCCTCAGAACATTGAATTATGACCCCAGAGTGGAGAAACAGAGAAGTCTGTCTATGTCATCAGACAACATCCCAAGTGGGATGTCATCACCACAATGCATATTGGCATTGGGCACAGTAGAGCAGTGGCAGCCTGGCAAGACTTGGCACAATTCTGTTGGGTTGCACAGTAGAATGAGAAATCACATTTCTGCTGTTATGTGATTCTGCATTTTAACTCCAGTTTGTTTGGCCTGGACAGATAGGTAACTAGCCATGAAGACAATGGACCTTGAAACATTCTGAAGACTAGAAAAAGTATGTAATAAAATACTTTGAACAACTGTTTAAGGACTTAAATGTCCAGACTGTTTCTTTAGATGAGTGTAATTTCCAATGTGAAACCTCACCATTTGGCTTCAAGAGGTACAGGACAGTTTTTGAATTTCGCAGAAAAAGTTGTGCATTGCAACAAACTTGACCATCCTATTTGCAATAGTAGAAATGTAAATTCATTCCCTTCAGAGATACCTGCAAAAATGAAATGTGAAATATGCTGCTTACATTTTAAAGACTGGTTATGGCATTCTAGACTAGATGGAAAGACATTAGTGAGGGCCAACATAGAAATATGAGTTTTCCCAAAAGAGTTTTGTGTATATATATGACATGGCAGGACAATTGGGTCACTAGTGGTTTTCACTTCTTCGCTCATTTGGCAAACATATGAATAGACTGATGTGTGCCAAACACTGTTCTGAGTTCTGGGAATTGAGGAAAGAAACAAGCTATCTGTTCTCATGGCACTCACATTTTACTTGGAGGATGGAGAGGCTGACAATAAACTTGTACAAATAAATACAAATGTCAAGTAGTGGTAAGTGCCAAGGAGAAAGAAAAGAGAGTAATGGTATAGAATGACAGTCATTGGGTAGCTGCTTTAGATGAATGGTAAGTGAACATGTTTCTGAGAAGGTGATGTCTGAGCTGAGAGGCAAAGGGTAAGAAGGAATCTGTCATGTGAAGATCTGGGAAGCAGGTGTACTAAGCAGAAGAGCAGCAAGTACAAAGACTGTGAGGTAAGAGATGTGCTCAGGGTGACTAAGTAACAGAGGGAAGACCAGCGTGACTAGAACATAGTGATCAAAGTAAGTAGTGTTGGAACATAAGTCAGCGACATTGGCAGGAGGCCAGTTTTTATGGAAGCCAGATTGTCTAGTGCCTTGTAGATAGTGGCAAGGAGTTTGGATTTTATTCTAGGTGCATCATTACCAGAATATTTTCTTTTTTTCTTTTTCTTTTTCTTTTTTTTCTTTGAGACAGGGTCTCACTGTCACCCAGGCTGGAGTGCAGTGGCATGATCTCGACTCTCTGCAACCTCTGCCTCCTGGGCTCAAGCGATCCTCACACCTCAGCCTCCCCAGTAGCTGGGACTACACGCACCACACCTGGCTAATTTTTGTATTTTTTGTAGAGATGGGATTTTGCCATGTTGCCCAGGCTGGTCTTGAACTCTGCCCACTTTGGCCTCCCAAAGTGCTGGGATTATAGGCATGGGCCACTGTGCCTGGCCTATCAGAGTATTTTCAAGCAGAGAAAAGCATCAGGTCTTATTTCTAGCATAAAAGGAACATTCTGGCTGCTATATAGAGAAGGGACTGTAGAGGACAAGAATGAAAGCAGGTTGACTGATTAGAAAGCATTGCAGCATTATAGGCAAGAGCTTATGATGGCCTGAAGGAGAGTGGTAACTATGGAAGAGATAAATGGATAAATTCAGAATATTTTTGGAAGAAAAAGGTGACATGATTTGCTATTGGATATGGGCATGAAGGAAGGAAATTAAGAATGATTCCTGAATTTTTAGCCTGAGCAATTTTGTAGCTTTTCATGTTTGTTTTTGAAATGGGGAGATTTGGTGGGGTGGGGGTTTGGGAAATTAAGAGCTTTTTATATTTATTTTTTGCTTTTTAAAAACTGTGGTGAAATACACGTAACATTAAATTTACCATTTTAACCACTCTTAAGTGCATTAAGTACATTCACATTGTGCAACCATCACCATCCTCCGTCTGTAGAGAGCTCTTTTCATCTTGCAAAATTGAAACACTGTACCTACTAAACAATAACTCCCCACTCCCCTCCTTACCCTAGCCCCTGAAAACCATTCTATAATACAGAAGTCCCTATGAATTTGACTACTCTCATAGAGTGGAATCACATAGTATTTGTCCTTTTGTGACTCGCTTTTATGTCACTTAGCATAATGTCTTCAAGGTTCATCCATGTTGTAGCATATGTCAGAATTTCCTTCCTTTTGAAGACTGAATAATATGCCATTATATGCGTATACTACATTTTGTTTACCCATTCATCCATTGATGGACACTTGGGTTGCTTCCATCTTTAGACTATTGTGACTAATGCTGCTGTGAATGTATATGTACAAGTATATGTTTGAGTACTTGCTTTTAATTCTTTGGGTATATACCCAGAAGTGGAATTACTGGATAATGTGGTAATTGTATGTTTAATTTTTTTAAGGAATTGCCATACTGTTTTCCCCGATAGCTGTACCGTTTCACATTCCCACCAACAGTGCACAACAGTTCCAGTTTCTCCACGTCCTCACCAATACTTGTTATTTTCTGTGGTTTTGTTGTTGTTGTTTTGTTTGTTTTTGTTTTTTTTAGAGAAACTATCCTAATGGGTATAAAGTGGTATTTCATTGTGATTTGATTTGCATTTCCCTAATGATTAATTATGTTGAGCATCTTTTCATGTGCTTATTGGCAATTTATGTATTTTCTTTGGAGAAATGTCTACTCAAGTCTTTTGCCCATTTTGAAATCAGGTTTTTTGTTGTTGTTGAATTGCAGGAGTTCTTTATATATTTGGGATCTGAACCACTTATCAGATATATGATTTGCAAATATTTTCTCCCATTCCATGCCTTTTCACTATTGATTATATCCTTTTATACACAGAAGTTTTACATTTTTGATGTAGTCCAATTTTTATATTGTTTCTTTTGTTGCATGTGCAAGAGTTTTATTTTGAATGCAATTTTGGGATATCTATTAGACATCCAAGTCAAAATGTCAAATACACAGCTGGATATATGAGTCTGAAGGTCATAAAAGAGATCAGAATGAGATATAAATTAAGGAATCATCCACATATAGATGGTATTTAAGGCCATGGGTCTGGACAGAATCACCCAGGAGAGAAGTCACATAGGAACACATAGGTTTCCCTAGGGAATACAGTCATCTTAGAGTAAAATTCCATCGAAGGAGATCAGGAGGTCTTGGCTGAGTTAAATTTGGATAATATAAGTTATTAACTATGTTAATGTGTTCTTCTAAGCTAGGTGCCAGGTTAAGGTGGAAATTAGGAGGTCCTGGGCAAGTATCAATTTGCTCTGCTATTGTATTATTGCAAGAATAATACTAACAATAGCGCATGACCTCATTTCATCCTCACAATAGCTCTACGTGACTGATATTCTTGTCTTCACTTTACAGACAAAGAAACAAAAGAGAAGTAAAGTAATTTACCCAGTTGCTATAGTTAGCATGTGGTAGGTCCATATTAGAGCCCTGGTCTGTCTGCATGATGGTTAATTTTATGAGATAGCTAGTAAAACATTATTTGTGGTCGTGTCTGTGAGGATGTGTCCAGAGAGGTTCACAAGCATTCGAATCACTAGACGGAGCAAATATGGTCTGCCCTCACCAATGTGGTCAGGCATTATCCAATCCACTGAAGGCTCCTGCTTACATAGAACAAAAAGGCAGAGGATGTGCCTATAGTTCCAGCTACTTGGAAGGCTGTGGCAGGAAGATGCTCGAGCCTAGGAGTTTGAGGCCAGCCAGGGCAACAGAGCAACACCTTTCTCTTTAAAAATAATTTTTTTAAGGCATAGGAAGGGCAAATTCTCTCGTTCTCTCTCTTCTTGAGCTGGGACATCCATTTTCTCCTGCCTTCAGGAAATCAGAGCTCCTTGTTCTTGAATCTTCCAACTCTGGGACTTACACCTTACCCTTTTCCCCTCAGTCCTTCAGACTTGTACTGAATTACACCATCACCTTTCCTGGTTCTCCAGTTTGCAGATAGCATGTCATGGGACTTCTTAGCCTCTGTAATCACATAAGCCAGTTCACATAGTAAGTCTCCTCCTATTGATATATACATATATCTGTAATCCTATTAGTTGGGTTTCTTTGGAAAACCCTAATACCCCTTTATCCACAGTTTTGTTTTCTGCAGTTTCAGTTACCTACGGCCAACTGGGTAAACCAAATAGGTGAGTACAGTAAAATAAAATATTCTGAGAGAGAGAGATGCACATTTGCATGACTTTTATTACAGCACATTGTTACAATCATTCTATTTTATTAGCTATTATTATTAATCTCTTACTCTGCATAATATAACTTAAATTTTATTTTAGGTATGTATGTATAGGAAAAAACCTAGTATATATAGTGTTCAGTACTATCTGAGGTTTCAGGAATCCCCTGGGGTTCTTGGAAAGTAGCCCCCTGCCTTCAAGCCTGCACTCTCAATTACTGATGCTACAACTCATTACCCTGAAAGATGAAATCTAGCCCTGAGCCCTTATCAACTGGCTGCATTAGATCATTTTAGATCTCCATGTCACCGCAGTCACATTTGTGTGTGGGAGAGATGGTGCTATACCTGCCACCTTCGTTAGCCTGGCTTGCATTCTCTTCTGAACACTCTGGGTCTTATTAACACTGTGCCAGGTTCCCATACACCCCAAATAAAGAAAAAGAAAGTAGATGGATACAATATACACACTAGGCCCAACAGAAGTTATGCTTTTACTCCCTTTCCTCTTCAATTTAGATACTACTATGGTCCTTTGCTTCAGTCTATCTCAGTTCCTTCATTGTCTTGTCGTTCCATTCACCTCTACTGCAAGGCCCCAAATCCTACCATTTGGTCACTGTACTCCTACCCTGGGTCAGTGGAGGAAATCACACAACCATGTGAGTTGGTGTCTCGACACATTTACATTTCCAATCACAATTGGACCCTCAGCCCACTTGTTACTCTCTCAACCCACATTTCCTCGCACCCATCAACAGTCCCCCTTCTCTCTTGTATCTTAAGTCAGCATCCTGGATTGAGAGTCAAGAGTAAAATGGTGGCCGGGCGCGGTGGCTCAAGCCTGTAATCTCAGCACTTTGGGAGGCCGAGACGGGCGGATCACTAGGTCAGGAGATCGAGACCATCCTGGCTAACACGGTGAAACCCCGTCTCTACTAAAAAATACAAAAAAAAAACTAGCCGGGCGAGGTGGCGGGCGCCTGTAGTCCCAGCTACTCAGGAGGCTGAGGCAGGAGAATGGCCCGAACCCGGGAGGCGGAGCTTGCAGTGAGCTGAGATTTGGCCACTGCACTCCAGCCTGGGCGACAGAGCGAGACTCCGTCTCAAAAAAAAAAAAAAAAAAAAAAAAAGAGTAAAATGTGAGCTTAGACTTTGCAAGACTAGTAAACAAAAGGACTGGGGTAGTGGCAAGAGTATGAATGGGCTGGAGGGATCACAAGGTATAAACTGGAAGGGAAAGGAAATGATATCAGGTGAGAGCTGAAGGATTGGGAGAAAAACAAAAGGTCCTAGAATGAGATGGAGCTGTTGTGACTGATGAGTGGCCCAGGGTGTGTCCTCAGCAGCAAGAGTGTGAAGTATAGGTGAAGGTCAAGTACTGCAAGGCTAAGGTATAGCACTACTCATCTTCCTGAGCACAAAAGTCACCAGCACCTTGGGCTGGGTGTCAGAGAGCTCACAGAATGTGGATCACCAACCAGGCAGATGTTGGTAACAGCAACCAGGAGGGCACAGCACAAACCTGAGCAGGTCTTTTATGTATGTGAAGGTGAAGGAGTTATGATTTAGAAATGGCAGTGGGAAGCAAGAAGAATGCTGAGAGCCTGCTCAGCTCTTGGCTTTCAAAATCATGGATAGTTCAAAATGAGTAGCCTTCACTTGAGAGACAGAGCCATGAGGCAAGTGGAGTGCTCAGAAGGATGCCAGATCTCTTTCAAGGAAAGGAGATGGAGAGAACAGCCAGGGATGTACTTGAAAGAGGAGAGTTGCTTGTCTACAATGGAATATGTGTTGCAGAGGACTCAGTTGCAGGGAAGACAACTGCAGGAGGGTGAGCTGGAGGGCTCTGCAGGGACAGGAGCACAGCGGGGCATTAGAATGGGAGTTTTAAATGAGAAGGATTAAATTTGCAGTGCTGGAGGAAGATCATCTCAAGGTTCACAAAATCAAGCTTTAGACTTGTCTGTGCCAACAGACAGAGGCATTGGGTGATAGTTCAAATCCTCATAATCTTTTATAATCCTTTCAGCAGTCTGTTAAATATAACCTTGGTGATAAGCTAAGTTACCTCAGCATAGCAAGCTTGGCTTGGTCCAAATCAGGGTAAAGGTGATTGCTGCTCAAAGGAAGTGGGAGAGACACCCAGCTCTAGATTGGAGAACATGACTTTGACCTGGGTTTCAGCCCCACAGGGCTTAGGCCCAGGGGAGCACTAGGCAAGTTGCTGAGGCCACAAGCAGGAGTTTATAACCAGGCTAGACTAAGCCCACTGATGCAATACTTTTTTTTTTTTTTTTGAGACAGAGTCCTACTCTGTCACCCAGGCTAGAGTGCAGTGGTGTGATCTTGGCTCAATGCAACCTCTGCCTCCCTGGTTCAAGTGATTCTCCTGCCTCGGCCTCTCAAGTAGCTGGGATTACAGGCACCCGCTACCATGCCTGGCTAAATTGTGTATTTTTTTAGTAGAGACAGGGTTTCACTGTGTTGGCCAGGCTGGTCTTGAGCTCCTGACCTCAAGTGATCCACCTGCCTTGGCCTCTCAAAGGGCTGGGATCACTGGCGTGAGCCACCATGCCCAGCCTGATGCATGAATTTGCATTCTTCATGCTCTTCATCTATGCTTCTGAAGACCTGGCACTTAGTCGACACTCAGTAAGTTTTATTTTTTAACTTCTTTATGATTATAAAAGTAATATGTGAAGCATTTGTAAAGTATGGAAATCTGGAAAAAATAAAACAGAAGTCATCTATAATCTGACTATCCAAACATACCTTAGCCTTCTTTCTTTCTTTCTTTTCTTTTCTTTTCTTTTCTTTTCTTTTTTTGAGATGGAGTCTTGCTGTGTCACCCAGGCTGGAGTGCAATGGCACGATCTTGGCTCACTGGAACCTCTGCCTCCCGGGTTCAAGCAATTCTCCTGTCTCAGCCTCCCGAGTAGCTGGGATTACAGGCATCCACCACCATGCCCTGCTAATTTTTGTATTTGTAGTAGAGATGGGGTTTTGCCATGTTGGCCAGGCTGGTCTCAAACTCCTGACCTCATGTGATCTGCCCTCCTCAGCCTTCCAAAGTGTTGGGATTACAGGCATGAGCCAATGCACCCGGCTTTTTTTTTTTTTTTTGAGACAGTTTTGCTCTCTTTGCCCAGGCTGTAGTGCAGTGTGATATTGGCTCACTGCAATCTCCACCTCCCAGGTTCAAGCGATTTTCCTGCCTCAACCTCCTGAGTAGCTGTGACTACAGACAGGTGCCACCAGGCCCAGCTAATTTTTTTGTATTTTTAGTAGAGATAGGGGTTTCACCATATTGGCCAGGTTGGTCTCCAACTCCTAACTTTGGGTGATCTGCCCACCTTAGCCTCCTGAAATGTTGGGATTATAGGCATGAGCCACTGCGCCCAGCTGAGCCTACTTTCTTCTGGTCTTTTTCTCATGCCTCCCCACCACCACCCTGGCCCCCTGCTGTTACATACATATATATGTTTATTATTTTTTTTAAAGAGATGAAGTCTTGCTCTGTTGCCCAGGCTGGTAGGCTGATCTCAAACTCCTGGCTTCAGGTGATCCTCCTGCCTTGGCCTCCCAAAGTGCTGTTGTTACAGGCATAAGCCATCACACCTGGCTATTTTTCACGCTTTTAAAACTCAGTTTATTCATTCATTTATTCACTCATTCTTTGGTTAATACTCATATACTGGTTTATTTTATTATTTTATTATGTTACATTTTTAAATACAGCGTCTCACTCTGTGCCCCAGGCTGGAGTGCAGTGGCATGATCATGACTCTGCAACCCCAAACTCCTGGGTTCAAGGGATCCTCCCATCTCAGCCTCCCAAGAACTTAGGATTACAGGCACATACTACCACACTCTGCTAATTTTTTAAAATTAATTAATTTTTTTTCTTTTTTTTTTTTTGTAGAACCAGTGTGTGTTAGGCCATTCTTGCATTACTATAAAGAAATACCTGAGACTGGGTAATTTATTAAGAAAAGAGGTTTAGTTGACTCACGATTTCACAGACTGTATAGGAAGTGTGGCGCTAGGCATCTGCTCAGCTTCTAGGGAGGCCTCAGGGAGCTTTTACTCATGCTGGAAGGTGAAGGTGGAGCAGGTGTGTCACCTGGTAAAGACAGGAGCAAGGGTGGGGGGAGGTGCCACACCCTTAAACAACCAGATTTCTCAAGAACTCACTTATTATGATGGGGATAGCTACAAGGTGTGAGGGATCTGCCCCCATGACCAAAACACCTCCCACCAGGCCCCACCTCCAGCACTGGAGATTAAATTTCCACATGCGATTTGGACAGGGATAAATATCCAGACTATATCATTTTGCCCCTGGCCCTCCCAAATCTCATGTCCTTCTCAAGTTGCAGAATACAATCATGCCTTCCCAAGAGTTCACCAAAGTCTTAACTCATTCCAGTGTTAACTGAAAAGCCCAAAATTCAAAGTCTCATCTGAGACAAGGCAAGTCTCTTCCACCTATGAGCCTATAAAATCAAAAACAAGCTATTTACTTCCAAGTTACAATGGATGTATAGGCATTGGGGAAACATGCCCATTCCAAAAGAGAAATTGGCCAAAAGAAAGGGGCTACAAGCTCCATACAAATTCAAAACCCAGCAGGGCAATTATTAAATTATAAAGCTCCAAAGTAATCTCCTTTGACTCCATGTCCCATATCCAGGGTTCACTGGTGCAAGGAGTGGGCTCCCAAGGCCTTGGGAAGCTCCGCCCCTGTAGTTTGCATAGTACGGCCTCTACAGCTGCTCTTATGGGCTGGAGTTGAGCGCCTGTGGCTTTTCCAGGCACAGGGTGCAAGCTGTCAGTGGATCTATCATTCTTAGGTCTGGAGGGTGGTGACCCCTTTCTCACAGCTCCACCAGGCAGTTCCCCAGTGGAGACTGTGTGGAGCCTCCAACCCCACATTTCCCCTCCAAACTGCCCTAGTAGAGGTTCTCTGTGAGGGTTCCACCCCTGCAGCAGGCTTCTGCCTGCTGGGCACCCTGGCTTTCTCATACATCCTCTGAAATCTAGGTAGAGGCTGCCAAGCCTCCTTCACTCTTACAGTCTGCATGCCTGCAGGCTTAACACCACATGGAAGCTGCCAAAGCATATGGCTTGTGTCCTTTGGAGCAGCAGCCTGAGCTGTGCCTGGGGCCGCTTGAGCCACAGCTGGAGCTGGAACAGTCTGGATGTGGGGAGCACTGTCCCAAGGAGGCTGTGCAGAGCCGTGGGGCCCTAGGCCTGGCCCACAAAACGATTCTTCCCTCCTAGGTCTCTGGGCCTGTGCCTGTGATGGCAAGGGCTGCCCCTTAGATCTCTGAAATGCCTTCAAGGCCTTTTTCCCATTGTCTTAGCTATTAGTACCTGGCTCTCTTTTAGTTACTCAAATTTCTCTAGCAAGTGGTTGCCCCACAGCCTGCTAGAATTCCTCTACTGAAAATACTACTTTCTCTGTCACATGGCCAGGCTGCAAATTTTCTAAACTTTTACACTCTGCTTCCCCTTTAAATATAACTTCTAACTTTAAGTCATTTTTTTGCTCTTACATCTGAGTTAGGCAGTTAGATGCAGCCATGTCGCTTCTTGAACACTTTGCTGCTTAGAAATTTCCTCTGCCAGATACCCTAGGTTGTCACTCTGAAGTTCAAACTTTCATAGGTCCCTACAGCATGAACAAGGTGCAGCCAAGTTCTTTGCTAGGGCATAATGAGGGTGACCTTTGCTCCATTTCTAGGTTCCTCATTTCCATCTGAGACCTCGTCAACCACGCCTTCACTTTCCATATCACCATCAGCATTCTGGTTACAACCATTTGACCAGCCAAGCACTATTCTAACTTCTGGGAATACAGAAGTGCTCCTCATGGAACTTAACAGTCTAGTGGAGGAAGAAGGACAATAAATGCAACAAAGAAGTAAATTAGTCAGGATGTCAGAGAGTGGTAAGTCCCATGGAGAAAAATGAAGCAGGGATGCATAAAGTTAGTTCAGAGAGAGAACAGGATACAATTTTAAATAGTGTGATCAGATAAGGGTTTATTAAGAAGGTGGCATTTAGGCCAAGACATGAAGGAAGTAAGAGAGCAAGCTATGTAGATAGCTGGGAAGAGCATTCCTAGGAAGAGGGAACACATATCTAATAGAGAAGCATGTCTAGTATGTTCAAAGAATAGCAAAGCCTTGGTAGCCTTAATGAAGAAAGCAATGGAGAGAGTAATAAGAGATGAAGTCAGTGAGCTAAAGGAGGGCATGAAGATTAGAGTAGGGCCCTATAAACTGGGTGACCACTGTCAAGTGAAATTAAGGCTGTTGAGGCAGAAATGATTTGATAAAGGTTTATTGTAAGCCAAATGTGAGGGTAAGCCCAGGAAAACATACCAACAAGGTTGAGAGTGTTCTGGAGTCTGTTACAAGTTGGAAAGCTTTAATAGGAAAGTTAGAAGAAAGGAGGGGGACTCTTCGTACAGGAGTTTTCCTTTTTCATTGGAGGGTACAATACAAAGGTTACAATAATTGGCTACAGTTTGCAACATGAAGACTAAAATGTCTACATGCAAGACAATCAGTAAAACCTTATGACTCAGAAATAAATCAGTGTCCTTTTCAGTGTCAGTAGGTGGTGCATTGATCAGTACATCAACAATTTGAGGAACTCATAAGATTCCTTACTCAGGACAAGGTATCACCATGAATCACAAGACCTTCCCAAGATGGGTTAATTTGGAAGCTGTTTACTTTTAAAGTAAACTGTCAAATGTGACCTGTAGGTTATTGCCATATATAATTTGTCATCCAAACTGGAAGACTTCTAGAATGAAAGGTGGAGGTGAGGGTTATTAATAATTAACACTAGGGCTGGGCGCGGTGGCTCACGCTTGTAATCCCAGTACTTTGGGAGGCCGAGGCGGGCAGATCACGAGGTCAGGAGATTGAGACCATCCTGGCCAACATGGGGAAACCCCGTCTCTACTAAAAAAAAAAAAAATTTAGCTGGGCATGGTGGCACATGCCTGTAATCCCAGCTACTCGGGAGGCTGAGGCAGGAGAATCACTTGAACCAGGGAGTCGGAGGTTGCAGTGAGCCGAGATCATGCCACTGTACTCCAGCCTGGCAACAGAGTGAGATTCCGTCTCAAAAAAAAAAAAAAAAAAAAAAAAAAAAAAAAATTAATACTAATTCAGTGGAGAGAAGCCAGGGCTGTCCTGGACAAACTCTGACGTGTAATCATTCGACTTATGGACCATTGTAAGGACTTGGGCTTTTAAAAAATCTGACTGAGATGGGAAGCGATTGGAAGGTTTTGAGCAGAAAAGTAACATGATATAATTGAGATAGCTCTGACTACTATGCTGAGAGTAGATTGAAGGGGCGTAGGAGCAGCCTTAATGAGGAAGGATTGGCTGGGGGCTAACAGAATACAGGCAAGAAACTGGATTCTACATATGTTGAAATTATGGCAAAAGACTTTATTGACAGATTGGATGTGGAGTACGAGAGGAAGAGCAGCCAGGAAAATAAAGTTCCCATTTTCTGAGTTGGGAAGGACTTCAGGAAAAGCAGATTTGGGATGAAATTAGGAGCTAAATTTGACATGTTATGTTTGAGACACCTATTACGTATCCAAGTGAGGATATCGAGTGGGCAGTTATTATGTGAGCCTGGAGTTCACTTCTCTCTATGTATTGGTGTTCATCAATGCAGAGATGATATTTAAACCATGAGACTGAATTTTTTTAAAAAGGAAGAGGACCGAAGACTAAGTTCTGGGCGCTCCAATTTTAGGCAGTAGCGGAGATGAAGAAAAACCAGCACACTAGATGGTTAAAGAGCAGCCAACAAGGTAAGAGGAAAACCAAGCAAGTGTCATTTTTGTTGGTTTTTTTGATACAGAGTCTCACTCTGTCACCTAGGCTGGAGTGCAGTGACACAATCTCGGCTCACTATAACCTCTGCCTTCTGGGTTCAAGTGTTTTTCTTGCCTCAGCCTCCCAAGTAGCTGGGACTACAGGTGTGTGCCACCATGCCCGGCACAAGTGTCATGTTGTAGAAAGCAGTTCAAGGATGAAAGAGAAATGAGTTTGTCACATGCCTTGAGAGGTCAGGTAAGAGGAGGACTATGAATCAACTATTGAATTCAGAAACATGCAGGTCACTGGGGACCTTGATAGAGGTGCTCTGGTGAAAGGTGAGGGCTAAAGCTTAATTGTAGTGGGGCCAAGTGAAAATTGAAAGAACAAAGTTAAAAGTAGCAAGTAGATATAGCAATCTTCCAAGGAGTTTTGCTGCTAAGGGACAGGGAGATATGGGGCAGGAGCTGACAGCAGAAACTGGATCGAGAGAGAGCTTTTACAGCCTGTTTGCATACTGAATGGGAAAGATCCAGTAGAGAGGGAAAAGATTTATGATGGAGGAATCAGGAGAATTGCTAGAGCAACATCTTTGAGTTGGTAAAGGAGTAGGAGGCAGGGCGGGTAAGGAGTATATAAGGCTGGGGCCGGGCGTGGTGGCTCACACCTATAATCCCAGCACTTTGGGAGGTCGAGGCAGGCCACTCACTTGAGCCCAGGAGTTCAATACTAGCATGGCCAACACGGCAAAAACCTGTCTCTACCAAAAATACAAAAATTAGCTGGGTATGGTGGTGCATGCCTGTAATCTTAGCTACTTGGGAGGTTGAGGCATGAGAATCGTTTGAACCGAGGCAGAGGTTGCAGTGAGCCACTGCACTCCAGTGGGGAGGAGAGACCATTCAGGAGAAACAGGAGAAAAGACAGAGTGTGTGGGTACAGATGGAGTTAGGCTGGTGTATTATGGTGCTTGTAGAGGTTCCCTCCATTGCTTCTATTTTCTAGGTGAAATAGGAAGCCAAGGCACAGCTGAGGGTGAGCATGGGGGAGGAGGTGATGGAGTTCTGAAGAGAAAGAAGGTCCTCCAGGATAGAGAATGAACCAGGACAATTAGGATCCTCTTGAAGTCACTGATGGTCAGTTTAAAGTGAAACCAGTCAGATGGAATATATTTTCCATCTACATTTGGCTATGCAGGTGCTAGAAAGAAGTAGGAGGGAGGTTAGATTTAACCAGCTTTATAGTTCCCCCAAAAGCAAGGCAGATAAGAAAGGGGCAAGGAAGTTGATTATGATGATTAAGCATGGAATTTAAGCTTGCCAAGAAGGGGTATGAGGACATGAGTAAGATGAGAGATAGTGAAAATGTGGACATCTTTGCCAGGTATGGAACCAAACACAGTATGCATTGTCTCATGTAATATCCACCCAAAGGGGACTGTTATCATCCCTCTTTACAGATGAAGAAGCTGAGTTTTAGGGAAGATTATAACTTGCTCGAGGTCACACAGTTGATAGAGAAGGGACACACCCAGTGTCAGGTCCTGGAACACTTGTCTCCAAAGACTATGTACTTAGCACTATTTGCTTTAACTGCAGTATTACTGAGCATTAAAAAAAATTGATGATTATGTACAAAGGATGGTAATTTTGTCCAATATATTTTTGTTAATATTTTTCCAACTTGTGTTAATTTTAAGATTTTCTGTTGTACAGAATTATTTAAAAGTTTATAGTAAAATACATCTTATCTTCAATTTCCTATTCATCTTAAAATTAAGTATCACCTATATTTTCTTCTAGCTTTTGATTTATTTATTCTTGGCTCTATTTTATTTACATTTATTACATTTGGCTCTTTAGTTGATCAGGAATTAATTTGGTGTGTGATTTATGGTAAGATACTATTTATTCCCCCAGTTTTTCCATTTTTACCAGTTTTTTAGCTTGTCAATTGTCCCAGCACCAGTCTTCAACAATGTATCATTTTCTTGATAATTTATAATTCACCTTTATCATATGTTACAATTTTTTCAACACTTGGGTCTGTTTCTGCCATACCTCTTCTATTTTGTTGATAGATTTATCTTTCCTCTGTGTATGTATGTGTGTGTGTGTGTTTTCCAGGAAACCCAGAGTAATCATTGTGTGTTTTTATATATTTGAGAGAACATTTCCCCTTATCACTGATCTTTTCCAAAAATTTCTTAAACATATTACATATTTGTTCTTTCAGATGCTCGTTACAATTATTTTTTAACTTCTTAAAATATCTCATTGAGGATTCCATTCTAAGATGGCCGAATAGGAATAGCTCTGGTCTGCAGCTCCCAGTGTGATCGGCGCAGAAGACGGGTGATTTCTGCATTTCCAACTGAGGTACCTGGTTCATCTCATTGGGATTGGTTGGACAGTGGGTGCAGCTCCTGGAGGGTGAGCCAAAGCAGGGCGGGGCACTGCCTCACCTGGGAAGTGCAAGGAGTCAGGGAATTTCCCTTTCCTAGCCAAGGGAGGCCGTGACAGATGGTACCTGGAAAAACGGGACACTCTCGCCCAAATATTGCACTTTTCCAAAGGTCTTAGCAAACAGCACACCAGGAGATTATAAGCCGTACCTGGCTCAGTGCTAGTGAGCCTTGCTCACTGCTAGTGCAACAGTCTGAGATTGACCTGCGAGGCAGCAACCTGGCATGGGGAGGGGTATCTGCCATTGCTGAGGTTTGGGTAGGTAAACAAAGTGACTGTGGAAACTCGAACTGGGTGGAGCCCATCACAGCTCAGTGAGGCTGGCTGCCTCTGTAGTCTCCACCTCTGGGGGCAGGGCATAGCTGAACAAAAGGCAGCAGAAACTTCTGCAGACTTAAACGTCCCTGTCTGACAGCTCTGAAGAGAGCAGTGGTTCTCCCAGTATGGTGTTTGAGCTTGGAGAACAGACAGACTGCCTCTTCAAGTGGGTCCCTGACCCCTGTGTATCCTAACTGGGAGACACCTCCCAGTAGGGGGTGACTGACACCTCATACAGGCAGGTGCCCCTCTGGGACAAAGCTTCTAGAGGAAGGATCAGGCAGCAATATTGGCTGTTCTGCAGTATTTGCTGTTCTGCAACCTCTGCTGGTGATACCCAGGCAAACAGTATCTGGAGAAGACCTCCAGCAAACTCCAAGAGACCTGCAGCTGAGGGGCCTCACTGTTAGAAGGAAAACTGATGAACAGAAAAGGAATAGCATCAACATTAACAAAAAGGACAGCCACACCAAAGCCCCATCTGTAGGTCACCAACATCAAAGACCAAAGGTAGATAAAACCACAAAGATGGGGAGAAACCAGAGCAGAAAAACTGAAAATTCTAAAAACCATAGCACCTCTTCTCCTCCAAAGGATCGCAGCTCCTCGCCAGCAACGGAACAAACCTTGGTGGAGAATGACTTTGATGAGCTAACAGAAGTAGGCTTCAGAAGGTCGGTAATAACAAACTTCTCCAAGCTAAAGAAGGATGTTCTAACCCATCTCAAGGAAGCTAAAAACCTTGAAAAAAGATAAGACAAATGGCTAACTAGAATAAACAGTGCAGAGAAGACCTTAAATGACTTGATGGAGCTGAAAACCATGGCACAAGAACTTTGTGATGCATGCACAAGCTTCAATAGCCGATTTGATCAAGTGGAAGAAAGGGTATCAGGGATTGAAGATCAAATTAATGAAATAAATCGAGAAGATTAGAGAAAAAAGAGTAAAAGGAAACGAACAAATCCTCCAAGAAATATGGGACTATGTAAAAAGACCAAATCTACATTTGATTGGTGTACCTGAAAGTGACGGGGAGAATGGAACCAAGTTGGAAAACACTCTTCAGGCTTTTATCCAGGAGACCTTCCCCAACCTAGCAAAGCAGGCCAACATTCAAATTCAGGAAATACAGAGAACACCACAAAGATACTCCTCTAGAAGAGCAACCCCAAGACACATAATTGTCAGATTCACCAAGGTTGAAATGAAGGAAAAAATGTTAAGGGCAGTCAGAGAGAAAGGCTGGGTTACCCACATAGGGAAGCCCATCAGACGAACAGTGGATCTCTCAGCAGAAACCCTACAAGCCAGAAGAGAGTGGGGGTCAATATTCAACATTCTTAAAGAAAAGAATTTTCAACCCAGAATTTCGTATCAAGCCAAACTAAGCTTCATAAGTGAAGAAGAAATAAAATCCTTTACAGACAAGCAAATGCTGAGAGATTTTGTCACCAACAGCCGTGCCTTACATGTTTAATTTAGAAGCACTAAACATGGAGAGGAACAATTGGTACCAGTCACTGCAAAAATATGCCAAATTGTAAAGACCTTCGATGCTATGAAGAAACTGCATCAACTAACAGGCAAAATAACCATCTAACGTCATTTTGACAGGATCAAATTCAAACATAACAATATTAACCTTAAATGTAAATGGGCTAAATGCTCCAATTAAAAGACACAGACTGGCAAATTGGATAAAGAGTCAAGACCAATCAGTGTGCTGTATTCAGGAGACCCATCTCATGTGAAGAGACACACATAGGCTCAAAATAAAGGGATGGAGGAAGATCTACCAAGCAAATGGAAAGCAAATAAAAGCAGGGGTTGCAATCCTAGTCTCTGATAAAACAGACTTTAAACCAACAAAGATCAAAAGGGACAAAGAAGGCCATTACATAATGGTAAAGGGATCAATTCAACAAGAAGAACTAACTATCCCAAATATATATGCAACCAATACAGGAGCACCCAGATTCATAAAGCAAGTCCTTAGAGACCTACAAAGAGAGTTAGACTCCCACACAATAATAATGGGAGACTTTAACACCCCACTGTCAATATTAGACAGATCAACGAGACAGAAGGTTAACAAGGATATCCAGGACTTGAACTCAGATCTGCACCAAGCAGACCTAATAGACATCTATAGAACTCTCCACCCCAAATCAACAGAATATACATTCTTCTCAAGCACCACATCACACTTATTCCAAAATTGACCACATCGTTGGAAGTAAAGCACTCCTAAGCAAATGTAAAAGAACAGAAATCACAACAAACTGTCTCTCAGATCACGGTGTAATCAAATTAGAACTCAGGATTAAGAAACTCACTCAAAACCATACAACTACATGGAAACTGAACAACCTGATCCTGAATGACTACTGGGTAAATAATGAAATGCAGGCAGAAATAAAGACGTTCTTTGAAAACAATGAGAACAAAAACACAATGTACCAGAATCTCTGGAACACATTTAAAGCAGTGTGTATAGGGAAATTTATAGCACTAAATGCCCACAAGAGAAAGCAGGAAAGATCTAAAATCGACACCTTAACATCACAGTTAAAAGAACTAGAGAAGCAAGAGTAAACAAATTCAAAAGCTAGCAGAAGGCAAGAAATAACTAAGATCAGAGCAGAACTGAAAGAGATAGAGACATAAAATCCCTTCAAAAAAAAATCAATGAATCCAGGAGCTCGTTTTTTGAAAAGATCAACAAAATTGATAGACCGTTAGCAAGACTAATAAAGAAGAAAAGAGAGAAGAATCAAATAGATGGTATAAAAAATGATAAAGGGGGTATCACCACCAATCCCACAGAAATACAAACTACCATCAGAGAATACTATAAACACCTCTATGCAAATAAACTTGAAACTCTGGAAGAAATGGATAAATTCCTGGACACATACACCCTCCCAAGACTAAACCAGGAAGAAGTTGAATCTCTGAATACACCAATAACAGGCTCTGAAATTGAGGCAATAATTAATAGCCTACCAACCAAAAAAAGGCCAGGACCAGAGAGATTCACAGCCAAATTCTACCAGAGGTACAAAGAGGAGCTGGTACCATTCCTTCTGAAACTATTCCAATCAATAGAAAAGAGGGAATCCTCCCTAACTCATTTTATGAGGCCAGCATCATCCTGATACCAAAGCCTGGCAGAGACACAGCAAAGAAAGAGAATTTTAGACCAATATCCCTGATGAGCATCGATGCGAAAATCCTCAATAAAATACTGGCAAACTGAATCCAGCAGCACATCAAAAACCTCATCCGCCACGATCAAGTCGGCTTCATCCCTGGGATGCAAAGCTGTTTCAACATATGCAAATCAATGAACGTAGTCCATCATGTAAACAGAACCAAAGACAAAAACTGCGTGATTATCTCAATAGATGCAGAAAAGGCCTTCGACAAAATTCAAAAGCCCTTCATGCTAAAAACTGTCAATGAACTAGGTGTTGATGGAATGTATTTCAAAATAATAAGAGCTATTTATGACAAACCTACCGCCAATATCATGCAGAATGGGCTAAAGCTGTTGACCTGATAGATACGGGTTCAAGAGGACACAGCTGAATACCGTGCTTAGGAAAAGAACAGTTTCAAAGGCTTTCCATATTGTCAGATTTGATGATTTCCTCCTTGGTGCACATCTCTCTTGGCTGTGAGGCACATAAACAACCTCTATCAATCTAACTGGTTTGTGCATTTTTTCTGATTTTATATCTACTAGCAAAATATATCTTAAGCCATTTTTAGGAAACAGGAGATTTAGTCACATGCTCAACAAGAGCACAACAAATGGGGACCATTTAATGGTGTAAGGGCTGTGAGGTATAGCTGCTGAAACTGTAGCTAGGAGCTGCCTTGCTGCCTTCTTGCAGGCAGATTGGCCAGATGAGCCAGGCTAAAATACAATTAACATCTGCCATTGTGGTATAACATGAAATATGGATACCTGGTCTTTGTCTCAGTTCTTGTCATAGAGTTCCCCAAACCTCTAGAACTTCCTGAGTGGTAGGAGTATCTCATTAGTCATAATGAGCCCCTTGGATTAGATAACTCCTGAGTTTATGCTAATGAGGTTACTTAATGTGGGGCCCTAGGTATTCTTATGATGGGGCTAGTCCCTGGAAAGACCGGTCATTTGAGGAATTAGAGGGTTGGAACTTTCAGCTCTACCCACTGACCTCTGGGTGGGGAAGGTGCTGGAGATCAAGCTCTCTAAAAACTCTTGAACAACAAGATTTGAGGAGCTTCCAGTAAATGTGTCCACAAGCTGGGAGGGCACTGCACCCCAGCTTCACTGGGACAGAAGCTCTTGCACTTAGAATCCTTCCAGACCTAGCCCTACATGCTGCTTCATCTGGCTGTTCATCTGTATCCTTTATAATAAAATGGAAAATGTAAAGGTTTAGCTGAATTTGGTGAGCCTTTCTAGCAAATTAATTGAACCCAAGAAGGGGGCTATAGAAACCCTGGTTTGTAGCTGGTAGGTCAGAGGTGCGTGTGGCTTGGACGTCTGAATGGCATCTGAAGAGGGACAGAGCACACAACCTGTGGGATCTGATACTGTCTCCCGCAGATAGGGTCAGAGCTGAATTCCATTAGAGAGCACCCTGTTGGTATCTGCTGGAGAATTGCTTGGTGTGTGAGGAGCCCCCCACCACATCTGGTCACAGAAGTATTGCGGGTTGACTGTGACAGTAGAGGGTAAAAAATGGTTTGTTTTTTCCTCTAACAGCCATCAATCCCTCTCAAAGGAGTTTGTAAGGTTTTTTGGATAGGAATGCTGTGTATAATCATTTGGTTCACTTCAGAAACTACTATAATTTTGAATGTGCTGGTTTGCTTCCAAATGTACACACACACACACACACACACACACACATTGTTGTCACCTAATATTTGCATTAATAAAATGATGTTATTTTTATTTGGATAGCATTTGTATAATTGGAAAAGAGGGTTAATCTTTATATATATTTTACCAGTCCTTGACTAACATGTTTTCAAGACCTCTTACCAATCCATTTCATCGAATTAATGAGTAAGGAGACTCTCTAGAAATGGTTGGTTTGCAAAGCAAGGACATTATCTGGAAGAATTCTCCAGAGTTTACTGTATGACGAGCATTTCTTGATAGCAAGGTTCATTTTAGTGTCAATCATTACAGTCAGTCCATTTCAGCGGGAACAACGGATTTCTCCACAGAGTCTTATTTATCTGTTTTTCACTTCACCAAATGGGGGAGATATTTTTTCAGAATGCAGTTATTAGAACCTTGGGATTTTCTTCTGTCTCCATTGAGTCTCTTGTTTTTTTCCCAGATCTGAACCTGAAAATAAAATAGATGCTAAAGAAAATTAAATATTCAAGACTTTCCTCCTCAAAACGCTCCAAACTGACATTGAAAAATATTTCTCCAATCAATGAACAAGTAACTCTAATGAGAACCTCATAGTGTAGATCTAGTATTTTATGCTTTTAAACATCTGAGGCCACTTTCTTAATTAAGTATAGAAGCCAGAATTTAAACTCTTTCACAGTTTTCCCAAGCAAATGATAGAGAGGGAGGCATGAAATTCTTGGCAATTAAAGTTGTTACAGAAGTAGTTCTATCATTAGAACAAAACAACTTATCAAAAATGGGCACTTTTTTGCTGTAAATGTTCTGTCAGGGATCAGAATTAATTCACATGCAGAGTTACCTTTATCAAGGCCAGGCACTGAGAACACTTTATGTTTTGTCACCTCAAAATAGCCATATGAAATATCCCATATAGCAGATGGGAATACTGAGGCTTAGTGAATATTAAGTGATATGCCCAAATGTTTGCAGTAGATTTGGGATTTAAAGCCAGGCAGTGTTACTCAAAACTCTAAACTTCTCCTAAATACTACTAATCTTTTAAATGTTGGCTGTGGTGTCATAAAAAGATACTGGTCTTTGTCCCTGGTTCCTGACACGGAGATCCTAAATCTCTTATAATTTCCGGAGTGATAGGGCGTGATAAGAGCTTCTGTTGTTCTAATGAGGCAACCCTGGCAGGGCCCTTAGATAGCTTCAGGGTGGGGGCTGGTCACCAGAAGACCAAGCCTTGATTAGAAACCTGGAAACTCTGGGGAGAGGAGAGAGGCTGGGGATAGACTTAATCCATCATGCCAATGTGACTAAACCTCCATGAAAACCTCTAAATGATGGGGTTTGGAGAGCTTCCGAGTTGGTGACCACATCCATGTGCCAGGAGGGCAGTGCACCTTATTTAACTCCACAGGGACAGAACCTCTGCACTAAGGACCTTTCCAGACCTCTCCACATGTACCTCTTCATCTGGCTGTTCATTTGTATCCTTTATAAGAAACCAGTGTTTCAGGCCGGGCGCGGTGGCTCAAGCCTGTAATCCCAGCACTTTGGGAGGCCGAGACGGGCGGATCACGAGGTCAGGAGATCGAGACCATCCTGGCTAACGTGGTGAAACCCCGTCTCTACTAAAAAATACAAAAAACTAGCCGGGCGCAGTGGCGGGCGCCTGTAGTCCCAGCTACTTGGGAGGCGGAGGCAGGAGAATGGCGTAAACCCGGGAGGCGGAGCTTGCAGTGAGCTGAGATCCGGCCACTGCACTCCAGCCTGGGAGAGAGAGCGAGACTCCGTCTCAAAAAAATAAATAAATAAATAAAATAAAAAAAATAAAAATAAAAATAAAGAAACCAGTGTTTCTTATAAAGTGGTCAGTGTTCTGAGTGCTGTGAGTCATTCTAGCAAATAATCAAACCCGAGGAGGGGATTTGTTTGGAACCCCAGATTTGGTAGGAAAGTCAGAGAGAAATGTGGGTAACCTGGGGATCTGACACTTGCGAGTGGCGAGTGAAGCGAGGCAGTATTGTGGGACTGAGTCTTTACACCTATGGAGTCTGATGCTAACTTCAGGTATTGTCAAAATTGAACTGAATTATAGGACACTCAATAGGTGTCAGAATTGGTTCGCGTCAAGAAGAAAAACCCTTGCACAATCTCATAAGCCAAAAAAATGAGGTTGAATTGTTTTATTTTTGCATTTCCTTATTAATGTGGACAAATAACTTTTTTCATGTGTATATTGGACCCTGAAGTGACTTCTTCTCTAAACTATCTGTTCTTATCCTTTGCTGGTTTTCCTACTGAACTGTTTGTCTTTTTCTCACTGATTGCTATGAGCTTTTTGTATATTAGGTATATTAGCCTTACATCTAGATTTTGTGTAGCAAATATTTTCTCCTGGCTTATTGACTTTTGCCTTTGTGGGTGGTTTCTTTTTGCCTTGCCAATAATTTTAAAAATGTACAATCAGATATATCAATCTGTTCCTTTATGGTTCTTTGATTTTATGTTATGCTCGGTAAGATCTTCTCTAAGGTTATAAAAATGTTAGTTTCCTCCTGGTACATTTATGATTTTACATTTTTAGGCCTAAATTTTTTAACTGTCTGGATTTTATCTTGATGCTTTTTTTTTTTTGGAGACAGAGTCTTGCTCTGTCACCCAGACTGGAATGCAGTGGCACGATCTTGGCTCACTGCAACCTCTGTCACCCTGGTTCAAGCGATTCTCCTGCCTCAGTCTCCCAAGTAGCTGGGATTACAGGGGTGCACCACCACGCCTGGCTAATTTTTGTATTTTTGGTAGAGATGGGGTTTCATCATGTTGGCCAGGCTGGTCTTGAACTCCTGACCTCAAGCAATCTGCCTGCCTCAATCTCCCTAAGTGCTGGGATTACAGGTATGAGCCACTGTGCCCAGCCAATGCATTTTTTTAAGATCCAACTTTTTAATTTATTCAGAATGTCTAGCTGAATGTTCTAATACCTCTTACTGAATAATTATTCCCCCTTGACTTTGCTACTTTTTATTACATAGTGAATTTTTTATTTTCTTAGGTTTTATCCTGAACTCTGTCCCATTCCACTGGTTTCTAGTCCTATACCATTATCACACTGTTTTAGTTACTATTGCTCAACAATATGCTTTATCATTATTATTATTTTTGAGACAGAGTCTCGCTCTGTTGCCCAGTCTGGTGTGCAGTGGCACGATCTTGGCTCACTGCAACCTCCACCTCCTGGGTTCAAGCAATTCTCCTGCCTCAGCCTCATGAGTAGCTGGGACTACAGGCATGCACCACCACGCCCAGCTAATTTTTGTATTTCAGAGACAGGGTTTCACCGTGTTGGCCAGGATGGTCTCGATCTCTTGACCTCATGACCAGCCCACCTCGGCCTCCCAAAGTGCTGGGATTACAGGCATGTGCCACCGTGCCCGGCCTATTATTATTATTATTATTATTATTATTATTTGAGATGGAGTTTCGCTCTTGTTGCCCAGGCTGGAGTGCAGTGGTGTGATCTCAGCTCACTGCAACCTCTGCCTCCTGGGTTCAAGCAGTTCTCCTGCCTCAGCGTCCTGAGTAGCTGGGATTACATGTGACTGCCACCGCACCCAGCTAATTTTTTGTATTTTTATTAGAGACGAGGTTGCACTATGTTGGCCAGGCTGGTCTCAAACTCCTGACCTCAGGTGATCCACCTGCCTCTGCCTCCCAAAGTGCTGGGATTACAGGTGTGAGCCACTGTGCCCAGTCAGCAATATGCTTTATTATCTAATAGAGCTAGTCTCTGCTTATTACTCTCCTCTTTTAGAACCTTCCTAGCTATTCTTCCATGCATATTCTCCCTAAGGCATTTCGGTATCATTTTGTTAAAAGTTCTACTTACCATTTCACTTTCTGCATCTGCTCTAAGGTTTCGGGAAGAGTCATTCCTAAACTTTCAGGGAAAAAAAGGGTGAGAATTCCAATCAGGACAGTCAGACTACCCATGACGATGTAGGGCAGCATTCTGTTGTAAGCACCTATAAAGCACAGGACATAAGAACATCAGTCAGAAACAAGGACTCTCTGGGCACTCTTGAGCATCATTTTGTGAAGGTGGTGAACAGTATAAGAGAATGGATTTAAATCTGAATATTTTCAGATAAAAAAAGTAAGCAAAATATCAGTTTCTTTTTGGCAGATGACAATATGCATTTCTGTAATCCTTTTGCATTATCATAAGGCTTTTCATTCTCTCCTGTCAACTGGTATCCTCTAAGCTACTACTCAGTCATATGTGACAGATGTTCCTTTGGTAGAGTTCTTTGCCTACCAGAGTTATCTTCTTAAGGTAGAGGTAATTGGAAATGGGGGATAGGAGGACATCAAGGAGAAGGAGGTTAACCAGGATGTTTCAGGGATGGGTTTTGGCCATGATAAGTCTGGTGTGACCTCTGCTTTTGCCCAAACTAGTAGGCTGCAGTGGAAAGTTAGGTCCACAGAGCTATGAGACTCAAAAAACAAAACAAAACAAAACAAAACAAACAAAAAAACAACAACTAAGTATTATTTTCATGCCAGATTAAATCAGTAAACAATAAGTATCAGGCACATTCTGTAAAGGCACTGTGTGCCTGGATTTGGCTTCTTTTTGCAGCACTTACATGTCTTGGGTTAATATGTAATCTCTTCTTTATGAAGCTTTACTCACACAGGAGAACAACAGATTCTCATCTTGCTTTGCCTGTGTATACGTACAGAGCTTACAGAGGAACAGCACACCCATGGATTTCATTTGACCCAAAACATAAGGAAAATATTGTTATTGCAGCTTCTCTGAGGCCTCTGTGTCACTAACAGGAGTAGCTATGTGGAGTAAAATACTCTTGGACTCTATCTTATGTACCAGTGTCTGGCCACTGGACCGTCTGAGCATAGTATGAAAGTACAGGGAAGGACAAAGGGAAAAATAACAGCACTCTGTATAATCTGCTATCTCAGGTGTGGCACAGGGCAACAGTGCAGAATATGTTTAAGTTAGGAAAATGTTTCTCTTTCTCTATAAGGATTTGGATTATACCTTTCCTGAGAATTCATATATGTTCTCAGGTGTGTGTGTGTGTGTGTGCATGTGTACCAGTAGTTAACCAACTGCCCAATTCATGAGGTGTGTCTGCATTTCTCACCAGTAGAGTCCTTAATGAGGAGCAGGCATGGGGTGTCAGATCCTACATCAGATTGAACATGCTACTGAAACACCTGTGTAGTGTTATTTCAGATTGACACCTTTGAGTATATAAAAACTAAAATTGTCTTCATTACAAAGATATCATAAAGTCAAAATACAAATGGTAAACTAGAAAAAATATTTACAACATATATACAAAGGGCTAATTTCTTCCATTGCAAAGAGAAAAAGATGAATACACCATTAAAGAATGGGCAAAGAAGCCTGGGCACAGTGGTTCGTGTCTGTAATCCCAGCACTTTGGGAGGCCAAGGTGGGTGGATCTCCTGAGGTCAGGGGTTCGAGACCAGCCTGACCAATATGGTGAAACCCCGTCTCTAATAAAAATACAAAAAAAAAAAAATTAGCCAGGCATAGTGCATGCACCTGTAGTCCCAGCTATTCAGGAGGTTGAGACAAGAGAATTGCTTGAACCCGGGCAGCGGAGGTTGCAGTGAGCCGAGATTGTGCCACTGCATTCCAGCCTGGGTGACAGAGTGAGATTCTGTCTCAAAAAAAAAAAAAAAAAAAAAAAAAAAAGGGCAAAGAACATGAGCAGTCAGTTCACTGAAAAATAAATAGAATGGCCAAAAAATACACAAAAACATGCTCAACCTCATTCATAATTAATAAATAGGAATGAAAGTAACAATGATATCCATTTTTCACATAACAGATAACCAATGATTAAAAAATTCGGTAGGCCAGGTGCTGTGGCTCAAGCCTGTAATCCCAGCGCTTTGGGAGGTTGAGGCGGGTGGATCACTTGAGCCCAGGAGTTCAAAACCAGCCTGAGCAACCTGGCAAAATCCCGTCTCTACCAGAAAAAAAAAAAAAAAAAATTAGCTGGGCTTGATGGTGTGCATGCCTATAGTCCCAGCTAGTTGGGAGGCTGAGGTGGGAGGATCTCTTGAGCCTGGGAGATTGAGGCTGCAGTGAGCTGGGAATCTAGGATGGCACCACTACACTTCAGAGTGAGACCCTGTCTCAAAAAAAAAAAAAAAAAAAGAATTAGGTAATCTTTATTGTTGGTGAGATTATTGAAAACAACCACTCTTACCTATTAATAATTAAATTATAGTTTGGTACAATATGTAGAGTTCAATTTGGGAATATCTATGAAATTTTTTTTTTTTGAGACAGAGTCTCGCTCTGTCGCCCAGGCTGGAGTGCAGTGGCCGGATCTCAGCTCACTGCAAGCTCCGCCTCCCGGGTTCACGCCATTCTCCTGCCTCAGCCTCCCGAGTAGCTGGGACTACAGGCGCCCGCCACCTCGCCCGGCTAGTTTTTTATATTTTTTTAGTAGAGACGGGGTTTCACCGTGTTAGCCAGGATGGTCTCGATCTCCTGACCTCGTGATCCGCCCGTCTCGGCCTCCCAAAGTGCTGGGATTACAGGCTTGAGCCACCGCGCCCGGCTCTATGAAATTTTTAACTGCACTCTTTGCTGCAGGAATTTTACTTCTATGAATCTATCTGTAAATCCAAATATATGTAAGTAAATTCACAAAGGGTGTAGGAGCATAGGAGAATGTTCGTTGTAATGTTATTTGTAATAGCAAAAACCTGGAAATGACCTACATGTCCTCCATTCATTGGAGCCTAGTTAAATAAATTATGTGTTTCAGTATAAAAGTAAGATTTTCATTGTGAAAACGTCAAATAGCATAGAATGTACTGGAAAAAAGTACAAATTCACCTCTCCTCTCCCAGGAGGAGCCCTAGAAAACCAACATGAACTGTTTGGTGAGTTGTTCTACAGACATTTTGTTTTGCACATCATGTACACACGTGTGTGTGTGTGTGTGTGTGTATATATATATATATATATAATTTTTTAATGGCACTCTTTGCTCCAGGAGTTTTACTTGTATGAATCTATCTGTAGATTATACTTAGGTATACTTATTTTAAAATGTACTTATACACATTTTTAAAAGGAGGTGCCTATTTAAAAAGAAGGTAAAGGAGCAATATATAACCATTTGGAAGGATATTCTGATACAATGTTAAGTTTAAAAAGTTTCAACATATATAATGTTATTTATGTGTTTATTGTTTTTATTTATTATTATTATTATTATTTTGAGACAGAGTTTCACTCTTGTTGCCCAGGTTGGAGTGCAATGGTGCAATCTTGGCTCACTGCAGCTTCTGCCTCCCGGGTTCAAGCAATTCTCCTGCCTCAGCCTCCAGAGTAGCTGGTATTACAGGCACCTGCCATCACACCAATTTTTGTATTTTTAGTAGAGACAGGGTTTCACCATGTTGGCCAGACTGGTCTCGAACTCCTGGCCTCAGGTGATCCACCCACCTTGGCCTCCCAAAGTGCTGGGATTACATGCATCAGCCACCACGCCCGGCCTGCTTGTGTGTTTAAAAGAGTATATACATACATGCGTACATGGTGTTGTGCAAAACAAAATGTCTGTAGCGCTATTCACCAAACAGTTTGTGGTTGGCTTTCTAGAGCTCCTCCTGGGAAAGAAGAGGTGAACTTGTACGTTTTTTCCAGTACATTCTATGCTATTTGACATTTTCACAATGAAAATCTTACTTTTATATTGAAAACTAATTTAAAGGAAGAACAAATGCACAAGATGCAGCTCACCGAGGTAAACAAAGTAGGGGGCAATGATGCTGCCCACTCTGGAGGCCATGGATGTGACCCCCACTGCCATGTTCCTGACCAGGGTTGGGTAGAGCTCAGCAGTGAAGACATACAGCATGGAGAAAGCAGAGGTGATTCCAAATTTTCCCAGCATGACCAGACCAATGGATAAGAAGTAATAATCTGGAAAAGAGACCCAGTATAAGCAAGGGTGCTTTTAGAAGTGATACTTTCTTGTATCAGTTGTTTTTATTGTCTTTTTTGCTTCAGTGGGAGTATTTTTATTAACATAAATATATTCCAAAAATAGCATGTTCTCTTCCAGTGTCCTAGTATTTGGGCATGGACAAAGATGGAGCATGAGGGGTGGCTTTGTACTTTGTTCTACTGTTATTCTAGGTCATTAATGCATTCAGTGACCTTTGTTGACTTGTCTTTTGTTTGTTACAACAGTTTCATGGGTAAGCTATTAGCATGTTAATATAGTTAAGTTTTATCTTCAAAGAGGAGGACCAATCCTTTCTATCCTGTTTCTTATTACTAAGAAATGTGTATTTCTATTACTATCAATAATTTATTGACATTTTAATATTATGAGAACATCAGAAACAAGGGGAAAAGGGAAGCATATATCCTTTTGTGCGCTATTTAACTACTTAAATATTCAGACCAGAAAACCACTGAATGTATCCTGGAACCGACATGTCCTTCTCACTGTAATACTTGAATATACACAGGGAAAAGGTTTGAGAGTAGCCAGAAATTAGGAATCATGACTATGAGTTAAAGGGAGATTTTAGGTGAGTCTTTCTGTGAAGGGGATAACTGGAAGAGTTACTTTTCCTCTTTGGTGCTTTCTGCTTCTCTGAGGCTGTCTCTTTTGTTTGGGGTAGTTGTTTTGAACACAGGAAACAACATACGTAGTGAGCAATCAGCTGTCTAATTGACTTATGAATGGCTTATGATGTAAAGGCTGAATAAACATGGAGCAGTGACTCAGAATCAGCCTAGTCAATATGTGGGTCTTTTCTGGTAAGCTGTTCATCTTGGTTAACTTCTTACCCACAGGTACCAGTTGAATGAAGAGAAGCACACCTCCTCCCCAGAACAGTACTGCAGCTATGATATAACGCCTGGGCAGGGTTCGCAATAGCAGCCAGGCTGTAATGTAAGCTGGAATTTCAATCAAAGCAGAGAGGAAACAGTTCAGGTAGGCATCTCCATGTAAATTAGGAGTATCCAGAGACAGAGCAAAGTAACCCACTGAGGTCAGCATCCTGAAAGAAAAAGGGATGTTGTGAATTGCTCTAAAATTTTATGATGGTCAAGAAATTCTCTATATCTTGCTGTCCTATAAGTAGCCACAACCTTGTTGGCTACTTAAATTTAAATAAATTAAAATTAAATAAAACCACAAATTCAGTTCCTTAGTTATGCTAGCCACACTTCAAGTGCTCAATAGCCACGTGTAACTAGTGGCTACTATATTGAACAACACAGATATGAAACATTTCCGTCACTGCAGAAGGTTCTATTGGATAGTGCTAGTCTATATATACCAATATTCAACAATAACTTTTCTCAGGTAGTTGATTTCAAGTTTTCCTATTTCCTGAATTGTTTGTACCTCCTCAGTCTCTTAGAGCTATTATTTGAAGAAAAAATATTAGTCACATCAGTGAACATAAAATCCAGATTTCATTCTTTAACAAAAAAGAGATACAAGGGTCATACTGTGGGATTCACTTAGAATAAATTCCAATTCTCTTTAGGGAAAAGAGTGAATGTCCCCTAAGGCTTCAAATTATCACAGAGTGCAGCCTGTATATTCTGTCATTATAGTTAACTTTCATGTAGAAGCTTCTCTGTGGGCCGTGTGTGGTGGCTCATGCCTGAAATCCCAGCACTTTGGGAGACCAAGGCAGGCAAATCACCTGAGGTCAGAAGTTTGAGACCAGCCTGGCCAACATGGTGAAACTTCGTCCCTACTTAAAAGACAAAAATTAGCCAGGCGTGGTGGTGGCATGTGCCTATAATCCGAGCTACTTGGGAGGCTGAGACAGGAGAATAACTTGAACTTGGGAGGCGAAGGTTGCAGTGAGCTGAGATCACGCCATTGCACTCCAGCCTGGGCAACAGAGCTAAACTCCATCTCAAAATAATAATAATAATAATAATAATAATAACAATTAATAAAAGAAGCTTCTCTGTGGAAAAAATAACTATGTAACTGAGTACCCCCATTTTTCTAAGGGATAGTTTATTTTCTCTCTCTCTTCTTTTCTCTTTCCTCCTTTTCCCCACTTTCTACTTACCTCTTTAGAAGTGCAATTATAGCCTTTTAACCTCCTCTTCACTAGACACTCCCTGCAGGGCAAGTTCATCTAACTATGTGCTTAGAAGATCCAGAGTGGAACTCTCACCCCCCAGATTTCCTCAAGCGATATCAGTCAATTTCCAACCTAAAGTATGCCTGCTAGAGTTTTTGGCCACCTATACAACCTGTTTCTGCCCATGAAGGTGCCAGCTCAGCTGCCCAGTAGATAAGGCAGCAAGCTAGCCCTCTGAGCCCTCACCTGCTTGCATCCTCCCCTGCCTTTTAGAAGTGCCTGCTTTCCACTTCAAAAAGAGAAGCGGTACCCTTTAGGCAGGAAGCCAATACCCTTCTCCCTAAGCTAGATTTGGAATAAAAAGTCACTTTCGTTACATCAGACCTTGCTCTTGTTAATTGGACGCCGCAAGCTATGAGTGACTGAACCTGAGTTTCTGTTACAACTGCACTATGCAGACGCCCCTGTGTAGAAATTTGTTTATTATTAACATGACTGAGAAGCAGAGGATATCTGAAAAATGATTTCAGGAACACTGGTGGATCTTTTTACACATACTAGACCCAAATTAGATAATGCAAGGACTAATTCATAAACAAAACAAATAATTAAACTTTACTGCTCAAGGGATTTTAGTGATTTTCCCATTTAGTAATAGGAGCAGCTTAGATAGAACTAGTGACTAATTTTTTATTAGCTTAGTAGCATCACTGCCCAAGAGCATTTGCATCAGGGATATATATATGCGGAAATGTCAGAACTAAGAAGGCCGTGTACCTAGGACAGACTTGCTTAATTCAGAGGCAGAAGCTCTGTCATTGATCTCTTCTAATTGCCAAGTAAGATGGCCCTTAAAAATAAACTTAGATTAGCTGCAGCCTAAATCTGCCAGTTCTGACGATCATCGTGTGTGCGTGTCTGTGTGTGTGTGTGTGTGTGTGTGTGCGTGTGTGCTGCCATCATAGGGTAGGAATTTTCTTTTTTCTTTCTCTTTTTTTTCTTGGCAGATAAATTATTAAATCTAATCTATAAAGCCAATTCACTATTTCTGTGCCTGAAAGCCACTTGTTAGTTTGCTATTGGCACGTATAAGAAGCTTATCAAGGCTCCAATCCAGGCAATGGGGATCTAGGTTATTCTAGCCTCACTGTTCAATTGCCAGGTCAGCTTCAGGAAGCAGGAGCTGAATTAGCATCTCTGCCTCAGGCACCAGGGACATCATTAGTCTTAATCTCATAATTTTTGGTGGGGAGGGAACCCTTACCCAGGGACATCAATGATCTCAATCCCATAACTTTAGGAGGGGGAAAGGGAATGCTTTCCCTTTGGGCCCCAGTACTGCAGACTTAAATACTGTACCCTGTGCCTTTTTTTTTTTTTTTTTAAGATGGAGTCTTGCTCTGTTGCCTAGGCTAGAGTGCAGTAGTGTGATCTAGGCTCACTGGAACCTCCACCTCCTGGGTTCAAGGGATTCTCCTGCCTCAGCCTCCCGAGTAGCTGAGATTACAGGTATGCGCCACCATGCCCAGCTAATTTTTGTATTTTTAGTAGAGACAGAGTTTCACCATGTTGGCCAGATTGGTCTTGAACTCCTGACCTCAGGTGATCTGCCCACCTTGGCCTCCCAAAGTGCTGGGATTACAGGCGTGAGCCACTGCACCCAGTGACATTTTTTCAGTATCTAGTCCCGTGAACTGAATCGAGGCATTTCAAAATAATTTAGAACTTTATATTCTTAATTTTTCCCAGGAAAACCCAGGCGTTGCCATAATGTTCCTCTGAGTTAAAGAAAATCAGTTGCATACTTATGTGCCGGATGTCTGCATTTCCAGGTCACTTATTACTTACCATAGCAGCAAAGACATAATGGTCATTATGGCAATATTCCAAGTTCTGAATAGGTCCAGAATGAAAGCTTTCTGCTGCTTCAGGGGATTTAGCTCCTGTAAGCAAAATAATGCAAATAACCATAAGATTAAGAGGTAGTAAGGAAGTATCTTTGGCTATGATGCATGGGGAAAACTTATGCATGCAACTCTCACTTCACCTTGACTATGCTTAGAAGTCTGGGAATTGGAGGCAATAGGGCATCTACATATATGATGCTTATTCTGACACTTTAAAATGTTTGCAGACCATTTTACACAGAAGCCTTTTAAATATATAACACCCACTTCCCTGTCTTGTTATACAAAGCCTGTTGTCTAATATAGCCTTTCTCTGACTGACAGTCAGAGAATGGATGTCCTTTACCACACTGATCTGTGATCCTCAGGACTGCCTATTGAAGGGTAGGGCCATGTAGTCCCTTCGTTGAGGCCATGTCTGCTTTTTACACATCTCTGTTTATTTGCTTATTTGTTTTTTTTAGATGGAGTCTTGCCCTGTGGCCCAGGCTGGAGTGCAGTGGCGTGATCTCAGCTCACTGCAACCTCCACCTCCCAGGTTCAAGTGATTCTCCTGCCTCTCAGTCTTTAGCTTACTGCTCTATAAAATGGGTATATTAATTGGGAGTTGAGAGACTAAATGAGATCATACATATATATATGTAATATATGATCCATATATATATATATATGAGCCATATATATATATGGCTTAGCACAGTGCTTGAACCATGGTAAATGTCCAATAAATTTAAACTATTATTATTATTATTATTACTGTATCATTGAGGAAAAGAGGCTAGCCATCAGTGGTCAGTGACAAATCCTTACTGCTATTGATGAGCTTATACTCTTTTACTTTTATTTATATTTATTTATTTACTTACTTGTTTGTTTTTTGAGAGGGAGTTTCACTCTTGTCGCCCAGGTTGGAGTGCAGTGGCGCGATCTCAGCTCACTGCAACCTCCGCCTCCCAGGTTCAAGCAATTCTCCTGCCTTAGCCTCCTGAGTAGCTGAGATTACAGGCACCCACCACCACACCTGACTAATTTTTGTATTTTTAGTAGAGATGAGGTTTCGCCATATTGGCCAGGCTGGTCTCAAACTCCTGACTTTAGGTGATCCATCTACCTCAGCTTCCCAAAGTGCTGGGATTACAGGTGTGAGCAACTGCGCCCGGCCTATTCTTTTGCTTTTAATTTGCTGATATTAACTTGCCATGAGTTATGAATCAAGGTAACCAAGCTGATTAGAATTGAAACTAACATAAAAATTATTAGGCTCTGAGGTGGGGAAATCTCTTAAGGATGAAGTACCAGGACTTTGTGACTTTGTGGCCCTACAGTGCATGTGCAGTAAGAGACTGAGGGAGGAATTTCTATTATGAAGAAGTGAGAGTGCCAGGCCTGCCTTCACAGCAGGTGCTCTCCAAATGTGAGTGTCCTTCTTTCTAGTAATGAGCAGACACTTACACAGCTCACAGCCACATTGCCTTTTCTCTACTGCACTATTTGGATTGTAGAGCCCCAGAACATGGGCCCCAGCAGAATAACCCTGGTACTACAACAAAGCAAAGCCCCTGCATAAACTAGTGGGAACTAGATATCCTCTTGGAGGGTTCTGGGGTGGTGCACACAGACAGGACCTGTGGACCAGGCCTGTGCTAACACTTGGTGGTTCCACGGGGCCCTTCTCAAATGCAGGTTGCCAGGTTCCTCCCTGGGCTTGCCTACTTCGACTCTTTTAAACAGAGGCCTGAGAATCTGTATTCTTAAAGCACTTGGGTGATTGTGATGAGCAGCCAGGATTGGAAACCTCAGAATGAGAATATCCTTATATCCAGTGGTTGTCCCTGGCCGGGGTGGAGCCACCAAAATGTCTTTGGATCAGGTACCAGGAGCAGGTTGAAGGTGCTTCTTCTGAAGCCAAGGATGCTTGAGACTGCTTTCTAAGACAATGCTCTACTCTATATCTTTTCCTGTCGAAGTTAATGCTACTGCCTCTAACATGAAGTGAAAAATCACAGTTGTTAAGAGCATGTGCTTTGGTGCTTGGGAGAACTAGGTCACAAATCCCAGTTTAACGTCTGTGTGATCCTGGGCAAGTTCCTTAACTTCACTGTGCCTTAGTTTCTTTTTTTGGGGAAAAAAAAAAAAAGCATGGGCATTAAATGAGCAGAACACAGTGCCTGGCATTTGGTAGGCTCTTCAATATCATTCTAAATAGGGTGCAATTGCTGGCACAGGGCTCTGCAGATCCTCCTAAAGAGGATCCTACAGGAGGTGACCAGGGGAGATGACCAGGCCTCAGGAAAGCGCAAGCCCCCTTTCCCTTAATGGGTTTGTCCAGTTCAGGCTAGATGTGCATCATGGCAGGAAGAAAGAAGGCACTGTCAGGCTGAGGATGGTGGCTCACATCTGTAATCCTAGCACTTTGGGAGGCAGAGGCAGGAGGATTGCTTGAGCCCAGGAGTTTGAGACCAGCCTGGGCAACATAGTGAAACCCTGTCTCTACAAAAAAAATACAAAAAGTTAGCTGGGTTTGGTGGCAATTGCCTATAGTCCCAGCTTGGGAGGTTGAGGTGGGAGGATTGCTTGATCCCAGAAGGTTGAGGCTACAGTGAGCTGTAATTGCACTACTGCACTCCAGCCTGGGCAACACAGTGAGACTCAAAAAATTTTTAAAGTGTATATATATATGTATATAGATACACATACACACACATATGTACATATTTATATATGTGTATGTGTGTATGTGTATCTATATATATATAAAGGCACTACCAGAACCATATGTTTTAACACTGAACTATATTCTTATTTGTCCATAACTATGTATCTCATATCTATTTTATGATTGCTTTCATCCATGTAGGTAAATCCCTATAACTAGAATGTAAGTTTCACAGATAGGAATCAGGCCACCTAGCTGATAAATACCAATAAACACCCAGCACAGTCCCGAAGGGCAGAAGTGTTAGACATTCTCAATGTTGTTGTTGTTGTTGTTGTTGTTTTATCCATTTAAATTGACTGACATTTGAAATGGACTTCTTGACTTGAAGGGCAAAGGATTAAGGGATGTTTTGTCCTGGCAGCCTTCTGAAAGCTTGAGTTCATGGCCACTCTAAGCCTCTAGCCATAGCTAGAGTATCTGCTTCTGGAAAAGGTCCTGAAGGCCAGGGATCGGGGAAGCCCTCAGGGTGAGCAGTGGCATGCCCACCGTCCTCTACAGAGTTCTGCTTTCCACACTACATGCTTTGGTGCAGGGCATGCATAATGCTACTGAAGCCATCATAGTCTTCTTTAGGTGTCCTGAGCAGACTGTTACCTATCTCCTAGCCAGGAATGCCCTGCCCCATCCTCTCCACTCATTTAAATGAGTCCTGCTGTCCTCCCTGGCTTGGACCTGCCTCCAGCCATGGGCCACCCTGCTCTCTTTCTCTGTATTGCTAGCACACAGTGTCTCTTCTTAGATACTTACCCTTTCTTCCCTTATGCCATTCTTTATCTTTTTATCTAATCCTCTTGCCCATCTTAGTTACATTCTATGTTCCTTTAGAATTGGGGCTGTGTCTTATTTTTCTTATTTCCTCTAGGAGCCAGCACAGGGCATGGCACACTGCATATCCTCACGAACTGTCAGGAGATGTGGCTGCTTCTACAGGATATCAGCTTTTCCTTGTGGTCACCACCTTTCAAGTGTGTGCTTTCAGGCCTTAAGGTTCTAGACATGACACAGAGCAAGACTAAAGACATGCATAGCTTCCTCAGCAGTCTGTGGTAAGATTCAGGGTACAGTGGAGAACCCAGAGTGGACTAACCCTGAAACATATTTTTTCCACTTAATCTGGACATTTAAAAATCATCAGTACATAGCTGTGTCAGTGGTTTGGAGCAATGCCAATAGAAAGTTGATGATAAACTTGCAAAATAAAGGGAACTAGTATTTAATGAACACTTGCTATTTGCTAAGCAGTTTACATATATTATTGCATTTAATTCTTATAAACAGCCCTTTAAGGTGGATTTTATCTTAGAATTTAATCATGATTGTGTTCCTAAGGCATAGTGCAATGCCTGGTACATAGTGGGCACTTAACAAATATTGAATTAAGTTAAATTCCATAAAATCAAGAATGCATAGCTGATCTCAAGAGGAAACATCTGCAAATGCTTACCTCCACAGAATCAAATATCACTGCTGGTACAGCTATGTTGTTCATTTTTGCAGCTTTTTGGATGATATCTTCAGCCTCTCTAAATCTTCTCTGGGATATCAGCCATCGGGGAGATTCAGGAATGAACCTATAATTTATTTGTAATATTTAATAATTTTTCACAACAGCAGGGTTGGATACTATTAAATCTCAGTTTTCCCCAGATAGTTGTAATTTTGTAGAATTCTAGTTTGTCTTTTTAAAGGGAGTCCACATAAGATTTCTATTGGAGCATAGGAATAAATAAAAGCACCTTCAAGTTTCAAACTTCTGATCAAATTATAAGACTGATCATCAGTTGTGCTTGAGACCAGGACCAGACGATAAGGGGTGACATTAACTATGGGCATGTTTGAGCCAGGACATCTGGAGAAGTTCATCCAAAACTTATAGGCATTGTGGCTCATAAAATAAATGTAGCTACTAGACTGTAAGTTCCCCTAGAGAAGAGACTGTCTTTGCAGTGGGTCCATCCTAAGGAGAATTGCTGGTGTCCCAGCTGGTGACATTCACAATTTATTGGCAAAAGGATGGTCAGGGCATCTGTGTTCTTGATCTTTTCCTTTAGTCAAAAGAGAAGGTGAGGCCACTGACACCTGCCTGTGTGGGGTCCCCATGGCTTTCAACAGATTCCCAGATCAGCGAGTGCCCAAACCAGTTTTTGCGAGATGAGCCCCAATGTTGTCTTTTTGTTAACATCTAAAAGCTTATTGTTTTAAATTACATAGTCTATTCCCATTTATAGCTGATGCTCAAACACAGTTGCAAATAATAGGACTTCTATTCTTTCTAAATTTTTTATTTCTCAAAATCTTTTAGCCATTCTCCTGTCAGCTCTCATTTTCCTTACCTATTGTTAGTACAGATGGTCCCTAACTTATGATGGTTCAACTTACGATTTTTCTACTATAGGAGAAAAGTGATATGCATTGAGTAGAAACCTTACTTTGAGTACTCATACATACAGCCATTCTGTTGTTCACTTCCAGTACAGTATTTAATAAATTACATGAAATATTCAACACTTAATCATAAAATAGGTTTTGTGTTAGAAAATGTTGCCCAACTGTAGGCTAATGTTAGTGTTCTGAGCATGTTTAAGGTAGGTCGGGCTGAGCTATGATATTTGGTAGGGATGCAGGGCAGGCAAGCCCCAGAGTGGGGTTTGGCCCATGAGGGTTCTTGGCTTTGCCCAGGAAATAATTCAAGGGCAAACTGGAGGTGGAAGAAAACAGGTTTATTGAAGAGACAATGTTACAGCTCAGTGACTGCTCCTGCAGAGCAGGGCTGCCCCACAGGCAGAGTAGCAGCTCAGGACAGTTTTGCACTCATATTTATAACTACTTTTAATTACATGTAGATGAAAGGGCAGTTTATGCAGAAATTTCTAGGGAAAGGGTAGTAATTTTTAGGTCATTGGGTCATTGCCATGGAAAGGGGCAATAAAGCCTGAGTGTTGTCACGGCAACAGTAAACTGACATGGCACACTGGTGGGCGTGTCTTATGGAAAGCATCTTCTGCCCTGGCTCTGTTTTAGCTGGTCCTCAGTTTGGTCCGGTGTCCAAGCCCTGGCTCTGGAGTCATGTCTGGCTTCCTACCTCAGTAGGTTAGATGTATTGACCTAGGATATTCTCAATTTACAATCAGCTTATTGGGATGTAACCCCATTATAAGTCGAAGAGCATCTGTACTTACTTAGCCTAGAAAACAAATTATAAGTAGCAGACACAGAGTCCTCTATAATTAATTGGCCCAAATCCACACTAGGAATAAGCTCAGAGCAAAACAAATGACGAACTAGCAGGTTCCCTCTCCAGCTTACTAGCACATGAGTTGAAAAATGAGCTCAGTTTGCATTTTTCAGAATATGCCTTTAGTTGGTCCCTATAGGAACTACAATAATATTAGGTCACCGACTTCCAGTAATTAGAACTGTGTTGTCCAATAGAAACTTCTGAAATGTTCTGTATCTGTGCTAAGACAGCACCCACTAACCACATGTAGCTATTGAGCTAGTGTGATTGAAGAAATGAAAATCTAATTTTATTTACTTTTAATTAATTTTAATTTAAATAGCTGCATGTGACTGGTGGCTACTATATTAGTGCAGAATTGGAGATCTTACTACACAGCCACGATATACCTCATGGATAGATGCTTCTACTTTGGGCCAGTATCTTTCTCCAACCAGATTATGCTTAGAAATATTCTACCTTTTTTCTACAGATCACTGGCCTCAGATTCTTAATGTTTAATCAGCTAGAAATTGCATAGCTTTCCTCATGTTTCATCTATGGCCTGCTTCCCTACCCCATCCCCACCCCCTATACATATACTCCATTCACACCTGTGGCCACTTACTGCCAAGCCTTTTAAAGGAAACTTGGGACATAAAAAGTTCCCCAAACCACCAGCAATGCCTCTATGTAAGTTTATCTCCCATTTCTAGCCCACTGTACTCAGGGCCACTGGTATCTCTAGTTTTGAATTGCTTTGATATTTTTGTGTGTGTGCACATAATCTCAAATCTAGCTGATGATTTCAAGAGTCAGTGGAGTGCCAAATGAGGTTGCACACTATAATCTCTCTGTAGATTTAATTCAGACTAAACAGGAGTGAGGTGTTGCTGGAGAGCTTGTCTCATACTGAGCAGGTGGCAGGGTCCACGTCAGCTCTAAGCATCCCCCCATATCCCAACCACTAGACTGATGAGCATCCCTTTGGGAAGCCCCACCTGCAAGGATGGGATGTTCAGAAGAAAGCTATTTTCTTTTACAGGAAAATGATAAGACCACTGATAAACGTTCAGGGGGAGCATTCAGCTTTTCAGTGCTGGTCCCGGGCTGGCCTCTATCTGGGTCAAGTCCTGTCCCTGGTACAGTATGCCCACAGCCAGGAGCACTCATGGACTGGCCCCTGGGAAACAGAAGAAAGAGCTCTCCTTAAGGCAGAGTGAGCAGGCTCCCTGTGGGATGGACCTCCTCGCTGGAAACTCTGGAGGCTAACTCTGGAGGGCTAATGGATCAGAGCTGTTCATTCCTTGCTGTGACATATGGTCCTGAGGCAAATCCCATCCCTACTAATCTCTGTACAGCCAATCAGGGGCCTTACATTGTTATTCTCTCTCTCTTTCTCTCTCTGTCTCTCTTTCTCTCTGATAGAATCATACATTAATAAGATTGATTATAACTTTTTTTGAGACAGCATCTCATTCTATCCAGGCTGGAGTGCAGTGGCATGATCATAGAGCTCACTGTAATCTTGAACTCCCAGGCTCAAGGGACCCTCCCACCTCCACCTCCTAAGTAGCTGGGACTACAGGCACTCACCACTGCACCCAGCTAATTTTTTATTTTTAGTACAGACAGAGTTTTGACATGTTGCCCGGGCTGGTTTTGAACTGCTGGGCTAAAGTGATCCTCCCAACTTGGCCTCCCAAAGTGCTGGGATTACAGGTGTGAACCACCATACCTGGCTAATTATAACACTTTGAAAGTACTGGTCCCTTAGGTCAAAATGACAACTAGAGCCAGAGCACATAGTTTATTAAAATCATTCAGCTGAAGAGGCAGAAAAAAACCTTTGAATAATCTTGTCTTGTGTCTTGAGAGAACCTCTAGTCACTAACATCTTTTCCAATAAATTCAGTTAGCAAGGGAGTTGTGGAGAGAGGGACAGATGATGATGATGATGATAATTACTCTCATTCCGAAAATTGCTCTGCTCTTGTAAATCTGGGATGCTTTCCTTGGAGGCACAGCTATGTAGATAATGGCCAGCCCTTATTCACTGCTCCTCAGGCCGGGTTTCCTGGTCCTCAGACAGGGTTCCAGAGGAGTGTTGCAAATCAGAATAATTCCTAACCTTTAACAAACTATCAACTGCACCTGCACACTTCATGCCAAGAATTTACACTGATAAATCACAGCACTCTTACAGATCGTGAGAATACAGGGGCTTAGAGTGAGCCTACCTGAACTGCACTGTCTAGTCAGACAGGTGGCCTGCCTGTCAACCTCTATGACTGCCTAACAGATGCAGTAAGATAAAGGCCTAGACAGCTTCCCAGTCAGGAGGTGTCCAAAGGACAGGGCAACCATGAGGTCTAGTCTAAATTGTGAGTTCCGAAAAATGATCAAAGAAGCTGGTGTTATGTGTAAGCAGGTAGAAGTTATGCAGTTCAGTGAAACTAGTCAGTGCTGGAGGATTTGACTTTGATGTAATGAAATCAAACCAAGAAGAATTAATGAGAGAGAAAGAGAATGAGAGAGAGACAGAACCAGACCCACCAATGGAAGGAATCCCTTTCCTCTTGCTTAAATATGAAAAAGCAAGGAAACAGGAAATCCCCAAAGAGAGGGTATGTCTGACACCTTATTCCATGATTTTTAATTTATTCTTTCACCTAAAATCTGCCAGATAGTCATACTGGGTAAGACTGCGGCCAGAATCTTCAAACTTTGTTATTCCTGTAACTGTTGTGTTATACTGAGTTGAAATTGAGTTGGGAGGTTGTGGGAGGAGAGAAGAGAACATTTCTCTAACAATTTATTAAATAAAAAGTAATTTTCTCACTCTTCAAGACATAGCAGATAAATAGGCACACTACCATAAGTGCTAATAAATAGGCTTCCCTTTCATAGATGCTAATCATTATATGGTAGGGAAGCTTGAAGAATTACATTAGTAGGATGAGATTTTTCTAGAGAGAGAAAAGTGATGAAAGAGCAGGGGGCAGAGTTAAAAACAACAAAATCCAACACCACCAGCGCCACAAATAAGTAGCAACAGACAAGAGTGGCTGGTGTCAAGGAAGAGATTGGAATCCTGAGAATGTGCTTTTTAGGACAATGGAGACTCAAACTCCAGCACACAGGCCCACCCACAATGAGGCAAAAACTCCCAGCTTGGAAACTGGCCTCTGCGAGTTCCGTGGAGGTCATACAAGCCCAAGCTAGGTCAGCACCAGGCTCCAGGTGTGTTCCAGGTGTACTGACCTGCAGCAGAGGGCCTGTCTGGGGACGAGTCACACTCACCACCACAGCGGGACGCACAGCACTCCCGGCACCGTCAGCGCCAGCAGCAGCATCCGCCAGTCTCTGATGAAGTAAGCAAACAGTGGCAGCAGCATATAGCCAACTGCAAAAAATGTGCACACTCCTAATGTAGAGAATATAATACGAACTGACTTGCCAAGAATTTCTGTTCCTGTTCAAAACAAGGGAGGAGTATTAGCATATTATCTCACTTTAATATTTGCTTTTTATATCATTATGTGGCAGTTAGAATTCAAACTATCACCAATTAGAAAAGGGGAAAGGTATTTGCCTCGTTGCCCAGAGCAGGCATGGTCAGGGTAGAGGAAGGTGGGAAGTGATCCAAGACTTGGCAACTTATAGAAGGCTGAATTTCCATGAGATTTTAACGGAGCCATAGATTTATTTATTTTTAATTTATTATTATTATTATTATTATTATTATTATAAGACAAAATCTCCCTCTGTTGCCCGGGCTGCAGTGCAGTGGCGCGATCTCAGCTCACTGCAACCTCTGCCTCCCAAGCTCAAGTGACCTTCCCACTTCGGCCTTCCGAATAGCTGGGACTACAGGCGCACACCACCAGGCCTGGCTAATTTTTGTATTTTTGGTAGAGACAGGGTTTCGCCATGTTGGCCAGCCTGGTCTCGAACTCCTGACCTCAAGTGATCCACCTGCCTTGGCCTCCCAAAATGTTGGGATTACAGGCGTGAGCCACCATCCCTGGCCAATTTATTTTAAGGCCATTCCATGTCATAAAAATATGCCCAGCCCCAAGAGCTAATCCCTTCTGAGAATGCCACATTTCCAAAATAAGAGCCCCAACATGAGAAGCAGAGAGAACGTTTCAGGAGACAAACAGTGGCTCTTCTGAGGGGCCATGTGGGGTCACGGTGTGTGTAGCCTTTCCAACAGTTCTGAACTGTAAATAAACAGACATTGGCCCATCAGGAAGCAGTGGAGAGTTCACCGTTTCCAAGACCTCAGGACACACTTACCCATGCCTGAGCCCTGAGAAATCAGTTGGAGTGAGCTGGCTCTGGAGGTGCACAGACAGGCCTTCAGCACCCAGGACTGAATTCCCTGCAGCCATGCTGTGCCCAGAGATCAGCCCAGGCAGACACAGTCCATTTGGACCAAGGAAAGAAAAGCAGGAGCTGTTCTGCCGCCCCTGCAGGCAGCAGCCCTAGACCTGGCCACACACTCATTGAACTCCACAGAGCTTTCCCTGAACAGCAGAAAGGCCCATGACTGCTTGGTGCGGGCACTGCTTTTTGGGAAAGGACATGCAGGCGACTGTTGGCCTCTGCTCAGTGCCACAGTGGATCACTTGGCACCAGATGGGAGTCCAAGAACAAAGCTCCTTCTCTTGTCACGGAGCTCCGGGCCCTTTCCAGAGTCTGCCCTTGGTTCTCTACACCTAGGGCGGAGATTTGACCAATGGCAATGGCTCTGCCTTTTGTTGGGGATCTGCCCACACTACAGAGTAGTGACCCGGAAGATACAAAACAGATAATTCAAAGGTCATTCATGCTTGCCTTTCAAGAGAGACTTTCTCAATCATGTTTATATGTTCTAGGCACAGGCAAAGGGATTAAGAGCTCATTCCAGAGAAGCAGCAAAATTACTACGTTGGCTGGTTTCTCATTTTATCACCTACCTGTTCCCATCCCACCCCACTCATTCTCCCTCACTGTTCATAATTGAGAGATCTGCCTTAGTGGGTCCCTCTCGAGAGGCCATTTAAAAACCCGGACTGACAGAAACAGCCAGTACTTTGTGCCTCCTGCATCCCATGTTGGAGACAATAGTCCTAACCACCCAGAGCATTGCTCAGCCTATAAACCCATTTCCAAGGATAGGGCTTGACTTCTTTGAGGATCATGAGTATGATTTCCAGGTCTTTTCTGACCTCATTAATGACCTTCCTGCTATGCACTGGTTTCTAAACCCTTTGGCTGTGATTATGATGTGGAAATAAATAGAGGGTGCTTTATTCCTAAGCAGAGATTCAGAAGTGAAGCAGCAGAGGGTTTGATTTTGGAAAAGAGAGAGTGTGCAGGATCAAGTGAGAATCTTGCAGAATTGTGAGGCCAGAGGAGCTTTATCCTACCTTCATGACCTTGTTAAGAAAAGAGAAGTTACACTACTGGGTTCCTGGATAATTTCCCTCTCTAAGCGTGAGTCTCAGACCAGAACAGTTATATAACTTTGCAGAGTGCGTGTTGGGGACAGAGACTTTATGGGTCTCCCTCTTTGCCTTCCTGTGGACAGCATGGATGGTACAAATTGAAACAATTCCTTTTTAGCCCTACTTTCTGCTCTCTGACTTTTAGGCAGTCACCTTTCCTTAAACAGGATCACCATCTTCACAGCTAGCATTTTTTTGAGTAGATACTTTGAGACAGGTTCCAGGCTAAGTGTTTACATATATTATCTCTTTGACCCTTCACACCAGTTATATAAAAACTAATATTCCAGGCAAGGCACAGTGGCTTATGCCTGTAATCCCAGCACTTTGGGAGGCCGAGGTAGGCAGATCACCTGAGGTCAGGAGTTCGAAACCAGCCTGACCAATACGATGAAACCCGTCTCTACTAAGTAAACAAAAATTAGCCAGGCATGGTGGCATGGGCCTGTAATCCCAGCTACTCGGGAGGCTGAGACAGGATAATCACTTGAACCCAGGAGGCAGAGGTTGCAGTGAGCTGAGATCATGCCACTGCACTCCAGCCTGGGAAACAAGAACAAAACTCCATCTCAAACAAAAACAAAAATAAAAACTAATGTTCCTCCTACTTTACACATAATTAGCTGAGACTTCAGAGTTAAAGCCAGTTGCCTAAATTCATGCACATAATAAGTGGTATACCAGGATTCAAGCCTTATTTGCTCTATGGATACTGGTCTACCTTCCAAAAAAAAAAAAAAAAAAAATTACTGGGGGCATGACTTGGCCTTATAACGCAGTTCTTCAACTGAGATTCCAATAGAGACATGAGGGGAGATGGGTAAGGCCATATCCTGATTTCACTTTTACAATTTTCTTTTTTTTCTTTCTTTCTTTTTTTTTTTTTTGAGATAGACTTGTGCTCTGTCGCCTAGGCCAGAGTGCAGTGGCGCAATCTCAGCTCACTATAACCTCTGCCTCCTGGGTTCAAGCGATTTTCCTGCCTCAGCCTCCCAAGTAGCTGGGACTACAGGTGCTTGCCACCATGCCTGGCTAATTTTTGTATTTTTGGTAGAGATGGGGTTTTGCCATATTGGCCAGGCTGGTCTTGAACTCCTGACCTCAGGTGATCCACCCACCTTATCCCCCTTTCAGAAGTAGAGTTGCATTTTCCCTTCCTGGGCTTGTCACTGGAGGCCAGCCAGCCCCCTCTGAGGAATGCTAGGAGAGAAGCCTGATTACACAGATCTTTCATGGCCTGCCGCTGCCACGAGCTTTCCATGTGGCAGTGAAACAGATGACAGTGGTGACTCCTGCTGTCCTGACTGGGGATCCCTGTCCTGGTCCCCTGTGCTCTGTCTGCCTCTTCTGTCTGCTTTGCTTCTAGGGCAAAGCCTGGTTGGTCTTGGTCTGGCTGGGCCTCTGAGTTTCTCCTGGGAGTGAAACATTGACATCTAAGCCAAAGGGACATGACCTGGCTAGGATGAGGGCCAGGATAGCCTTAGGAGTATTGCCCACCACCTGTCACACCCATCTGAATCTGAGCACTCTCTCCAAGAGGGGGTGACTTAGAGAGGGCCAGGCTCCCTTCCATGTAGAGCAGTACCTGCCCCAGGAACTGCCGGGCCCATTCCACACAGAGGCAGGACATGCATCTTCATAAATGACCAACATAGGCTCTAAGTAGACCCCAGCTCAAGAAATGAGACTGTAGTGCAGCTGCCAGGATATGAGGTAAGAGCCAGGAACCCTAGGCTAGGAGTGTCCTCCATCTGGCAAGGGGAGAGCCTGAGTTCCTTGATGCTAAGTTGCTACTAGAGTGACTGTGATAAACCCTCCTTCGTAGAGATATTATTATGAAGACTGAGACCATGTATGTAAAGTGCCTAGGAGGGTGTCTGGCATGTGGCAGGTGCTCAGTAATAATTATTCTTTATCCTGGTCGAGCAGTTGAAATGTGCTGCATGTCAGAGGAATGATGGAAAGTGCAATGCCTTTGATGCAAAAAGACCCAGTGAAGACAGTAGAACCCCTCTTCAAGGCTTAACAGATGTTCGCCTGCTCAGGGCTTCCCCTCTCTCTACACCAATCACTGTAGTCAAAAGTAACATTTCCTATCTCTGTGTATACCCAGTAATATGTGCCCCACTCCCTTGACCCACGTCCCCATGTCCACAGTGACAGCTGCATTGGCTGCAGAGGCACAACCAGGCAGTGAGCTCCTTGTGAATAGACAGGCGTGAGTTCTTGCTCTTCCCTGGGTCCCCCCAGTTCTTCCCTCTCATGGTGCAATGCAAATAAGGTATGCCAGCAAATTTCTGCATCATGTTCATGGATTTATATGCCAGCTCATCCCTTGGAAATTTTGAGGCAACTTCAAATTTAAATACAATAAAATAATGGTAACATTAAAGTAAGACATAAAGAAAAGTAAAAAGTTGTGCCTTGCTGAAAAGAACAAAAATATGCAGCTGACTATTTTGAAAACAGTTTGGCAGTTCCTCAAAAGGTAAATATAGAATCAGCATAGGGCCTAGCAGAGGTCCTACCTTATACCCAAGAGAATTAAAAACATATATCCACTAGGCCGGGCGCGGTGGCTCAAGCCTGTAATCCCAGCACTTTGGGAGGCCGAGACGGGCGGATCACGAGGTCAGGAGATCAAGACCATCCTGGCTAACACGGTGAAACCCCGTCTCTACTAAAAATACAAAAAAAATTAGCCGGGCGAGATGGCGGGCGCCTGTAAACCCAGCTACTTGGGAGGCTGAGGCAGGAGAATGGCGTGAACCTGGGAGGCAGAGTTGCAGTGAGCTGAGATCCGGCCACTGCAATCCAGCCTGGGCAACAGAGCAAGACTCCGCCTCAAAAAAACAAAAAAACAAAAAAACAAAAAACATATATCCACAAAAATACTTATTCTCCAATGTTCATAGCATTATTCGTAACAGCCCCAAAGCAGAAACACCCAGATGTTCAATGACTGATGAATGGATGACCAAAATGTGTTGTCTTCATCCAGTGGAATACTAATTCATGCTACAACATGGATCAACCTTGAAAACAAGTGAATTCAGTCACAAAGGCCACATAATATATGATTCTGTTTATATCAAATGTGCGGAATAGGGAAATCCATTAAAGGCAGAATGTAAATTAGTGGTTGCCAGGGGCATGAGGAAGAGGGAAATGACTGCTAATTCGTATAGGGTTTCTTTTCAGGGTGATGAGGAGTTAGATAGTGTTGCTGGCTGTACAACGTTGTGAATATACTAAAAAACACTGAATTATACACTTTAAAAGTGTGAATATCATGGTATGCAAATCTGTCATGGACTGAATGTTTGTGTCCCTCCATTATTCATATATTGATCCCCTGACCTGATAGGATATAGGATTAGTGTCCTTACAAGAAGAGACACCAGAGAGTGAGCTCTCTATGGCTTGCTCTCTCTTGCTTTCCCTCTCTCTGAGCACTTGCGCAGAAGAAAGACTTAGAGAGAAGGCAGCCATCTGCAACCCAACAGAAGAACCCTCACCAGACACTAACCCTGCTGGCACTTTGATCTTGGACTTCTACCCTCCACAGCTGTGGGAAATAAATTTCGGTTGTTTAAACCACCCAGTCTACAGGATTTTGTTATGGCATCCCAAACAGGCTAAGACAAAATTATATTTCAACTTTTCAATTTAAAAACAGTAAAAAAATATATATATGGCTGATAAAAGCTGCATCATTGATGTAGTTACATTTCAAATTTGCCTGAGCTTCCTGGTAGCCAGAGTTGTAAAGGAAGATGCCATCACTCACACACCTATCAAAAGGAGGAACCTCTAGACATCAGGGGAAGCAAAGCTTTAAATGGTTCAGCATGCCCAAAGACATGTCACATGGGAGGTTGATGTTAGAAGTACTGAAAAATACTGAATTAATGAATCAGTCAGGACAGGAGGTAATTAACTTTTTGTGTTTAAGCAGATAGTTATGGGGGATAAGAGAGGCTACTGATGGTATTCTACCCAGAAGGCCATTGACAGGTGGAGGGCATTATTTCTGGGCAACAGTAGGAGATTGTGAGGGGAGCTGCAGTGTGGGTAGGTTAGTGTCCTTGGTCCCGAGTGGTCATTTCCGCCTAAACCAGCATCATTCCGGCAACACCATCACGTCCAGGCATGTCTGCTTTATGCTGTGTTGGGTAGCACTGTTCTGTCTTTCTCTTTTCTAGCTATGACTCTGGCAGCCTTGATCATTTTTAAAAAGCAGCACAAAACAAGGACTCATTTCTGCACTGCTTTGACAGTGGGAGGAATTTGGCTTCCCAAGTTAATGTGAAATTATCATGCAGGGTTTTGCCAACCCTTCCTTAGGGCCAGAGGGCGGAAGCGAAGGTACTTACCAAACTCCTCAACCCAGACCACACCCTTTGGTTTATTTTAGTCAAATACAACCTGGAATTAAGCTATTTTATCCCAGAAACACCAGAGAGCGCTGCTGCACTGTAGGGAAGCTAGCAGCCACTTTGTCTTTGTACTGTGTCCCCCAACCCCAGGCGCTGACTGAGGTGTCCAGCCATTCCAGAGCAGGCTGGTTTTTGGGGACACTTAAACTTTCAGACCTGAGAACCCAACACAGTGAGTCTCATACCAGGACACAAAAGCCAGCAATTTCTTGCAGAGCACAATGGAGTAAAACTATCACCGGAGAGGCTCCCATAGCACCCTACAACAGGCCTGGCCCCAGGCTGATAGCAAGCCCTCAGAGGCCTGGATCCCGGCTGATAGCGAGGCTGCTGCACCCAGGGTCTTACGTACTGACTGCTGGCTTGACTGATCTTCCATGGCCTTACTTTCCCCTTGGCCCTCTTACCCTTCTTCACCCTGCATGTGGGACCACACGCTGCATGGGGAGCTGGGAGGAGAGTAGATGATAGTGTCAGAGCCAGGGGGCAGCCCTTTCCTGTAGGAAACCTGGGGTATGCTCTCCCTGCCTCACCCACTCACATAGGGGAGGCTTGGAGGCCCCAGAAGCACAATGTGCCACCGAAAAGGCAGATCTCAATGCTGCCCATTCTATAGAACCGGGGATGCCACCACCTGGCACAAATCCCACCTTGTTCCCATTCCCACGGAGAGAGCTTCTCTGGCTTCACCGTGACTCTCTGCCCTTTTGTTCTAGATGGTCCTTCAGGTCCTCCTGGGATATCGGCCTGCTGGTCACAGTCTTCTGTTTTGGGGAGGCCTGTTTGGTTTTTGGTATGTGTCTGGCCCAAGCAGAGCCACATGTTGGGTTTTTCGGGCTTAGAGAGGATCATCACACGGAAGATGGATTCTGGGGACTTTGAACATGAAGACAATAGGCTTTGCCTTGTGTTCTTGGAGCCACTGGGGACTAGGAGGTTGTAATTTCTGTCCTAAGATCCTCCAACCTCCAGTTTCCAACAACACTGGCCTGAAGCTCCCTGTGCCCTCTACACAAAAGATCTTCAAGAAAATCTTACCCCGCTCCTTCCCCCTGCAGGAAGGGGAGCAGCCTCCTCCCGCTGGGGCCTGCTGAAGAGTGTGCTATCTGCTGGGACCATGTGGCTCCAGCATGTTCTTCCCACCTTCTCTCCTCCCTCCTCCCCTCTGCAGACACTGAGGCTGAGCCCATGGCACGGGGCTCTTTGCAAATAATTAAGGGAGTAGAGTTGGAATATTTCCATCCTGGCAACTTGACAGAAGGTATACACACCATCAGTTAAGACAGCACAGCATCTCCAAAGCCAATGAGTCCTTCAGACTCTTAAGAAGCAATCAGAGTCACCTAACCAGATTCGGACTTTTGAGGCAAGAAGAATCATTAGACTTCTATTAAAGGAGTATTAATAATGATGCTGTGACAATAGGGACAAATTGGGATGGTACTGAGCCACCTAGAATATATTATCACCCTAGAGATGATGGGAACTTGTGTCTGCTATCCCAGAGATACCCCTCACCTCTGCTTCTTTCATTTGCCCATTCGCTGGGCTCAGAGAACACACTCTCTCACTCCTGTGGATGACCCTCATCAACTTGCCTGGAGCTCACCTAACTCCCTCCCAGGAAAAGCTGCGGAGGGCCCCAGGGACCTCCTCATGACCTTGTAGCTGATGAGTCTTCCTCATGCAGCCTGACAGCAGATGGGGCTACTATCAGTGCAGGGAGGCTTGTCCTGTGCTTAGCTGATAGACTCTGGGGTGGGCTCTGACTTAGGGCGAGGCCAGATCGGCCCAGTGATGGCGGGCTGGCACTGAACTCCCCCTGTCAGCATAAGCCTCTCCACCTATGTACTGGCCACAGTGACTACCCTAAGTCCCTTCACAGGCAACCAGGAAGAAGTCTCAAGCCTATACAACTCAGATCAAAGACATCCTCAGGCTGCCCTTCCCCTAAAATGTCCTCCTCTGTGCCTCTCTTAAGCCCTGTGCTCCTGAGAATGTGTCTCAGCTGTTGTGCAGCTGGTTCTTAATGGCTCCAGCTCTTCCTCACCATATTTCAGGGCTCAGCACAGAGGTGGCTCCCTGTGAGTGCCTGCCTTGCCCCTGACTTTCTCCAAGAGCTCCCTCCCAACACACATATATCCAAAGGCTTTGGAAGCACAGCCCAATGGCCCAATGACTTCCTCTTTCTGGGCCTTTCAGAGGGTTGGAGGGAAGTACCCCGTGTCCCAGAAGCCATTCCTACCTAGTATGAAGGCTACCACATAGTTGGAGATCTGGCCCATGCCCACGATGAGAAATAACACAGTGAACATCTCCCAGCTGATGGAGAAAATCTGCAGGAAGCTGAAGCCAGTCTGTACAGCCATGGTTGCGAAGAGAACGTTCTTCCTGCCAAACCTAGAGAATGCAGTATAACCAAAAACATGAGATGTATAGGTTGCCAAGGTGTGTTGCAAGCCCTGAGTCAGGCATCAATGCAGACTTAGTGTTTTTTCAGGACTCTGGCAGACTTTTTTCCCTGTCACACCCTCCCATCTTCCTCCTTGGTGAGGTCTCAGGCATCTGTCTGCTCAGGAGATAGCTTTTGAGATTCTCAGCTTCCTGTGGAGTCACCATGCCTCAAAAGCACGGAGCAGCATACGCAAGGACCATGTGGAAATACGCTCTTTAGAAGGAGCCACAGATAGACGCTACCAGCACATTTCTGGAAAGTGGGTACAGCACAGATTGCAGATATTTCTTGGATCAGCAACATGAAAATTCTGTAAATCCAGAACTAAGAGTCACTCTGCAAGTGGTTTTTAACCTTGGCTGCACTTGAAATCACCTGGAGAGCTTGGAAAAATTACTGATGCCAGCACCCCACCTCCCAAGATTTTAGGATACAGTTTGGGTATCAGGATTTTGGAGTTTCCCAGATGAGTAGCACGCAACCAAAATTGCAAACCACTGCTCTGTGGGAAGGTGTAGCTTTCAGCAATGTCTTTCAGTGACACTGAAGTTGGTTTAAGTGTTACCTTCACATTCTGGTAGTGATCAGTGGGTAGAATGGAGCACAGGTGTGAGCAAAACAGCTTTTCCTGCCCCATTTTCCAAACTCAGGTCTTTGGCTGTTGGCTTGGGCTGGGAAGCTTTCCCCAACACTGCTATTTAGCACCCCCAACTTCCTGCACTGGTCACCACAGCACATCCAGGGGCCTGTGGAACACTGTCTCCCGGGGCTGTGATGTTGCCTCCTCAGGCCTGTAAGCTCTATGAGGCCTAGAGCCAGCGTCAGCTCTGTGGTCTCAGTGTCCAGACAGGGTCCAAGCCATAGCAGCAGTGTGTGCACAATTGGGGCTCACTGTCTGGCTGCTGGCTGTTTGCAGACAGATCCTCTGCCATCCACCCCTGCCCCTGAGGTGGTGGTGGAGCAGGGAGGGCAGTGGTGATGGCAGCGTCATGTTTTGTCAAGGAGTCTGTGGTACGAGGACCCCACTTTCCAGTGGGGTCAGTGGCCCCTCCTCACCACTGGCCAAAGCCCTGGGAGTATGAGGCTGAGGGAATGGAACAAAAGTGTGTCCAGGTGAAGGGGACTGAGGGCAGGGTGAATAGGAGACATCGGGCTACTCCTATCACTGAATCAGTGGCCTGAGGGTCCTCCCTGTCTCTGGGTAGAAATATCCTGAATTCAGTCCAGCCCCAAGATAGGCAGTGATTGACAAGGGGCACCATCCCACCTTCCTCCCCTCCCACGTCCTTACCTGTCTGACAGTTGCCCGGAAAGGAAGGAGCCGAGGAGCACTCCTACGAAGAACAGGGAGGTGGTGAGGGGCACCTTCCAGTTGTCCTCACACACCAGATTCCACTGCCAAGGAAGACAGCATGAAGTGTGAGCCCAGCCCCAAGGCAGACCTCAACCCCAGCCCAGCTCCGAAGGAATGTTAGCACGGCTGCCAGGCAGACTCTCCTCCCCTGTGCCAGGATATTGCCTTCGTGCAAAGGGCATAGGCCTTGCAGCCCTGGGTTTGACTGGCCTGTGCCAGGACTGGGGTGAGCAACATGGGGAAGGTCACTGCCCTCCCTGAAACTCAGGATCCTCTTCGGAAAGGGAGGGTGATGCTCCTACTCTGCTCGTGTTACATAGCAAGAAGCCAGCTGAGGCCATGGCTGTGACTGGTGACCCCTCAGCTGTGAGGCAGTCCAAAGTAAAGGTGGCACTGCATCTTCAGAAGCCAGCCTAGTGCAGAGGGGAGGTGTTTGAAAAGCCCAAAGGGCAGGGCAGAGGGCACGGCCACTTAGTCCAGGAGTAAAATTTCTTTTCCTTTGTTGAAAAGTGCAAGTGGTTCCAGGAGCTCTGTGACTTTATTTTCTGAGCAGACCCCTCCAAAAAATCATGTGGTCCCTGGTCCACTCACGCCTAGGGCAAGCTTGTGACCTAATTCAGGGCCCCATCATTCTGGGGCCTACTTACTCCTCTCCAGGGCTCCCTGGCTCCCCTCCTACATCCCTACACCCTCCTTCCCATCCGGCCTTTCCAGAAGTATGGTCCCTCCCATTCCCTAGGGCCTGTGGGCTGCCGCTGCCCTAACAAGTCCCTGCCAGTGCATCTACAAAATGAGAGTTTCAGTCAGAGTTTCAGTTTGACTTAAGTCAATTAAGCAAAATCAAGGGAGGTGACAAACATTTCAAAGTGTGTTTAGTGACCTTTCATTTATTAATAACAAATAAATAAATGAACAGATGCCAATGAGCACTCCGGGCTTGGGTTCTGGGGGCTGCTGTGTGTGGCAAGATGATCCAGTCTGGAGGAAAGACCCCTGCCTCCCAGCCAGCCCTAGTTCCATCTTGGGTGGGGCTGCTTTCATAGCGTTCGCCAAACAATTCCTTCTGAATCCTCATAACTCCCTTGAAAGTGTGGATTTAAGCACAAACTCACATATTTATATCACACCTCATTCTGCAGCAGACAGAGGTGTTTAGAAAGACACATACAAGAGAAAAATGTAAAACAAAAAGCTAAGGGAATTGGGGCAAATGGAAAATAAAGAGGGGGGAAGTTGTAAAAACCAAGCCTGGGGTAAGACTGACCCTAGACTATCCTGTCCACGGGCCTGCCTACTTGCCAGACGGGGCTCCAAAACTGGCTCTGTGTATCCCAGCAGCTCAGTTCTCAGAAGGGTTACAGTATCTGAAGTAGTTCACTTATTCGCAGAAGCACAGTTGTAAAGAATACTGAGATCCGAAAGAAGTCTCTTCTATGTACTTCTTCCACAAAGGAACCACTCTGTGATGCTGAGGATAACGTCCTCGAGAATAGCCCTGTCCTAGAGACAATAGCAGGATTCATGAGGCCGCCTCTCACAGGGCTCACAATGCTGGCCACGGGCAACGCCCAACACAGCTCTGCAGAAGAAAAATAAGTTGGGCCAGGAACTCAGCACTCTGCCATTCAGGCACAATCCAAGGATAAATCTGAGACTGTACCCAGAGTAGGATTGCCTCACCTGGGGCTCCTGCATGGGCTTCAGGAGAAAGGGAAATGAATCCTCTAAAACTGTATAGCCAGATTAATGTGTTCTGCCAGTGCATAGACCAGAAGTGGTAAACAAGACGTGTGCCTGCATTCGTGGCCATCTACCTCCAAAAATAACTGTCCAAAGTTTCATTTAAAAGCTTGGGATCTGCTTCTGACTTAGAGAGATGAGCAGTTGAGGCCCCAAAGCCTCATGATGTGGTGTGACCCATTTTGCAGAAGATTAAACTGAGACTGTGAGAATGGGATTTGTCTGAAGTCACAGCAAGTAAATCAGCATGATAGATACCTCTTTAGGCCTCAGAACCCAATCTTGTACCAGTGTCCTGCTTGGACCTGTACTCTCTAAGGCAGGACAAAATGAGCTTATTAAATATGATGCCCTACACTTCTTCAAAGAATGTGACACCAGGAGACAATTACCCAGGACTAGGAGTAGAAGGCCTCCATCACAGCCTTTAGCCTTGGACAGAGCCAAGAAGAAGTCAAGATTGGTAGAGGTATTAACATGCCAACCATCATCATTCCATCTGCAGTTAAGCAGAAAAGCTCTTTCAAATATAATGTGCTCTCCTTTGTAGTTTTTCAAATATTTCTCTGTCTGGACTTTGCCTTAGGGCAGGATAGATAGGATTTAGAGACAGAAAGGAAAGGAGGGCTGTTAGATGTGGAGCCAGGCATTGCATGAGCAAAGGGTGGGACTGGGAACTGACTACTTAATTTGCAAGGTCCAGGGCAAACTGAAAATACAGAACTCCTTGGTCAAAAATTATTAAGAATTTCAATACAGCAATGGCAAAGCACTGAAACCAAGTGTGGGGCTCTGTGTGACTGCACAGTTGCATGCCCATGAAGCTGGCCCTGGTAGGGGGTCAAACCCGTTCTCCAGGAAATGAAGCAGAGGCAGGAGTTCTGAATGGGGACACTGGGAAGAGGGGTGAGGTGAGGGCCAGCTCCCATCATTCTCCTTCCTGTAGGCTCTGCACTGATGGCTTTCAATCCCATTCCCTCCCTGAAGAGGGGCCCAAGAAGCCCTGTTAGCATCATGCAGCACAGGAAGAGCCATGTACACGCAGTGGCCGTTTGCCCCAAGCCCATGCAGGGTGCTATCTGCCTTTGGAGACCCTGCTTACAACCAGCAGGGGAAGGCAGCTAGACTGCATGGCTGCCCATGGTTGACTCTAGGGCAGGGCTCTCCTTTGGGAAGTTATGGTGCCGAAAGTGTCTTTTTGGAAAGCTGTGAGGGGCCTGGTATTAGGACACAGGATTGGCAGACGAAGTTCTACCTGGAGCAAAGGGCTAGAGTCCAGTAAATCAGCTGCCAGTCCTAAGAGGGGCCCTTTAGAAAGGGCTTTTCTTGGAAACCAGGCCCTGCTTGCCCCTGGGCCCTTCAGATTTGAGGGATATGTCTTGGGTCCCCACTAGCCAGCGCCACAAAACCTCCCTGTGGTTAACAGTGACATGGTGGGCCCAGTGGGAGACAGTGTCTTCCTTGATGGGACAGAACTGTCCCTGTGGGTCCCTGCACAAGTTTGTACATACATGCACACACACACATACATACACATGACCAGCGCAGAGGCTAATGGCGGATGTCCTGGTGAGCAACTGGCTGGCATTGCTTTGGGGCTGTGCTTTCAAGTCAAACCCTAACATTTCTGAAACATAGCTTACCTCCCCTCTCTCTGTCCCTCTGATGGGGCCTCCCAGGGTTACTATGTCTGTCCCATCAGCAGGGTCCCAGACCAAGTTTCTCACAACAGAGCAGAGTAAGCTCCATGTAACTGGGCCACGTGGCCTTTAGCTCTAATTTAAGAAACAAAAATCCAGGGGACAAGGTAATAGGGGATGGGAGGTCACTCTTGGCATAGAGGGATGTGCCACCTCCATGCCTCCGTGTAGTAAAGGGAGTAATGGGAAAGACAATAACAGTGTGTGGAGTGCTCACTGAGTGCCATGTATTATCTCAGGGGATCTCAGGGTTGCCAGGTGAGATGGGTACTCTTTTTATCCTCTTTTTACAAATGAGGAAATGAAGGCACAGAGCAATAAAGCGACCAGCCCAAGTTCTCCTAGTGAATTGGTTAAAAAAAAAAAAAAAAAAAGCTTAATCATTGATTCAACTGACATTGAGCACCCGCTCAGGCCAGGCTCTGTGTGGGGCACAAGAAAGACAAGGTCCCGGCCCTCACAAAGCTCAAGATCAAGCATACTTTACAGGACAGATGTGCACATGTGCATGCATGAGGCCAGCAGCCCTGGGTGGAGTGGGCCCTGTTCTGGACCACTTCACCCTTGCTCTTTGACTACAGAGGAAAGAGGCACCCCCTCCTCACCACCCTCCAGCAGAAGGACAGAGTTCTAAAACCTGAATAATCTGTATAATCATATTTTACATGACTTGTGTTTGCATAGTGCTAGGCACGCGGTGGGTGCTTAGCAAATTGTTGAATGAATATTGAACAATTAATTAGGAGTCATAGAAAATCAGCCTGGAAAATGTGGTTCTTGGGCTGAGGAGTATCACACATTGCACTTGGAAAATCACCCTCAGCCTTGAACTAACTCTCCAAGTAGCTGAAGTCCGGCAGTTTTAGTTTTTACCAGAGCTATAAAGGACCATAAAGATAAGTGAACCCCATCTGCCCTGCACGGAACTGAGAACGCTGGAAGGTGGACTGGTGCTCAGCAAAGAACACAGGCTTTCTCGGGGTCTGCAACTTTAGACTGTGTGATGTTGGGCAATCCATTCATCTCTATTAGCCTGCTTCTTCACCTTCAAAAAGATGACAATAATACCTGCTCCTGGGTTTGCTGTGTGCATTGGATGGGAAATGTCAGTGGGGCGTCAGACACATTACAGGCCTCATTAAATGGTAGTTCCCCTTCTACCAGCCTCATACTAGTAGAGCATTTTATTTGTCCTGAGCAAAATCATGACTTGGAACACATGGGTGAATAAGCAAAGCAGGTTACACTTAAATCTGACTAAGAGAAAGAAATTCGAAGAAATAAAAATTATTCCAGCCCATTACTAAAAGCTAGAAAAGCTCTTGTAAAAGGGATTTTATGAATGGAATTCAATCCCAGAGATGACTGTAAGTGAAAAATTAGCAATGGTCCTTTTAAGAATAAAAATTGATTTCTATAGTATCCTCTCATAGTTATCCTTTATTCCAGAGAAAAGTAAGAAGTAGTAGTTAATAATGGACTACACATCTACCCCAGTTCTATCTTTGTCACTTGATTTTGACTTAAAGTTGGGAATTCCTTGACCATCTGAAAAAACAAAACAAAGGAAAAAAAAAAAAAAAACCAAACCTGGTTAGTTA